TGTTTCACAAAAAGCAAACTGGTTGAATTTTGCGTAGTTCATTTGCGAAATTAACACACACTCTCTTGCAAGTACACATAGTCAAAAAAATATGATTTTCTGAAGATTCAATTTTGTATGGTTTGTATTTACTACTCTTAAAATATTTACATTTCTGCAGAATTTTTCTGTAAAATTCTATTAAAGCAATGTATATCTATGGGTAAGATGAATTCTGCTTCCCTCTTAAATCAAAATTTGATCGAGATACTGAGCGAAGAACTTCCCTTTTTACACGATGCGTTTATATGCGTTGCTGTCGGCTAGGTCATTTCGCAAATTAAGTGCGTAGACACGCATAGGATGCGCGTAATCTCGTCAGCAGCGTGACTGCCAATAACGGGATTTATAGTAATTCATTTTGCCTACGGTAAACATTCTGATCGCTCTTCGGTCAAGCACTTAAATTGGTGACGATTAACATAGCAATCTATCTACTGCGCTTCAATACGCTTGATTCGACTTCGTAAAAACGGCAGTATAGTAAAAAGTATTAAATCGATGAAACGCGGCTTCTTCCGAATATGTTAAATACGATTATGATGTAAATTACGATTCGTAATATTGCTTATCAGATTTCTAATCGCTAAAATGATGAAAATATTTAATGAGGACCTAGTAATATATACACGATTTTCGCAATTTCCTAGCGTATGTAAATTATCAAATTATGACAGAGAGTTTCTTTAGCTTTTCGCCTCTATAAACACGATTTTCACGACTAATGAGTTTAATTTCAAAACAGTATTTTCTTAATGCACGTTTTTGCATTTTACGTGCTTTATCGCGTTGTTGCCTCACAAATTATGAATATTGTACTCTTACTGCAAACTAACTCTAAATTTTGGGCTCGTAAAAATTTTTTTTATTAAAAACAGATTTCATGGATGGAATTATTAAGAGACTGATTCAATCTATTAAATATTTTTTATCTTTCTGAAAAATACATATATGATTTATTTCAGATAATATTTGATGAAGCGATAGAAAAGATGGCTTGATTTATTCGCGAGATAAATAAAATCAAAGATATATTGTTTTGAGAGGAATTTTCAAGATAAAAAAGATATTAAAATTAAATAATAAAAATGGAAAACAAAATACGAAAAACTTTATCGGTATATCTATTCTAGCAGGTGGTTCACCTAGCATTTCTTGAAACTGCTCAACCCGCTTGATCGAGCAATCGCACGGTACTGTTGCGGTTTAATTGCATCAGAAGCGCATACGAAGATGTGTGTAAGGGATATTCGCGTGTACTCCGGTGTCTTATTAGGACATAACGGATGCGTCTGCATCCAGTTTTTGCTGAGGAAGCGTGACCTTTATGCGTGCGTTCATTTAGTACTGTCATGGAAAACCCCGAGAGATACGAGTGAGTTTAAGCACGTGGATCCTACCAGGATACACGCGAGACTATAAATTCCCTGGTGCTTTTACGTTATCTCTTGCTGCAGCCTTCGTATTTCAGAAAGAACGATATATATCGCATAGCTGTTGTAAGAGCTGTATCCTTCTGTTTTAAAGGTCATCCTGATATTTTCCTTGCATAGAATTCGTATTCAGATCTTACATAGTTTTATCCATATCATACTAGATTTGTTTTCGAAATCTGTATAAAAAATTTGTCTCGATCACGTAATGTATGTAAAAAATATTATATTATTCCTTACATATTTTATTTATCTACAATCACATATGATGTCATTTGATCGCAAGCAGATAATTTTTTAATATCTACATATTATAGATTGGCCAATAGATGATTAATTGTACTAAAATAATTTATTTTCTCGTTTATAAAATAAATAAATAAATTGATTAACATTAATAGCAATATTTTTCGCTGACTTGTCAACTTTTTTGTTACGTATAAATTTCGAAAACATTCTTTTCTTTATTTACTCTCTTTTTCTAACAAGGAAACATCTAACTATTAATCGTAAAAATCTTATTAAAAACTGCAATAAAAAATGAAAAATTGTTTCTAAAATTTCGCTTGTCAGCGAGAGGGTAAAATATGGTCACTTCATGCTAACGAAAGTACACCCCTCTATCGATCGGCAAGAGTCCGCTCTTTGTAAAAAAAAATCAATATTACGACGACCAATGAATGCACACCTTTACACAATGGTTTGCACGCATCTTCCGGAACAGTTTGGGGTGTCGGTTTCACATGTGTTTACTCACACTTTGTTCTGCTAATACACATTGATCGGAGATAGGACCTTTTATTTTCACGTTTATTCCTAATCAATCACATACATTGACAACGTTTTTCCCTAATCTCACTAATGCTGAGAAGAAAGTCTCTCTTTATTTTAATATTCTCGAGTGTCTTTTCACTAATGCATTTTTAATCTCAAGTTAGAAAGAAAATGAAGCTGCCCCATGGGTAGCTTCATTATGTCGATGATTAGAAAATTATAACACTCTTTTATGGTAATATTGATGGTAAAAGAAATATACAAGATATACTGGAGCAATGATTTTTGTCTTATTCATAGATTGTGAAATAATAGCAACCAATGACTTTTATATTCATCAATTAATTACTATTAAAATTATGCTAATTTCTCTGTGTGTATTCATAGTATACATATATAATAACATTTTTTTTCACGAAAACGTAAATTATTAACGTAATTATATACAAAAAATTTAATTAATGTATAATTATAATTTAAAATGATTATTATTTGTACTAAAATCTTTATCATTATTTATGGGTTTCCGTTTTGAATATTTATTTAGTAAATTTTAATTAATATTTTAATTAAATATAATTAATAATTTGAAAATTTAAATATGTGTATCCAAAAATTTATATATTTTATATTTATTACCAAGTCTATCTCCTATTTTCAATATCATTTCTCATCATTCTTTTAATAATCTTTATATAATAAATTATCTAATAAAACATTACCTCAATCGTTACTCTTTATTAACTTATTATGCAATAGCTGATATGAAAATCAATTTCTGCTTTCAATGTAAAATATCGAGATAATTAAGAGTTTTATTTTTGAATTAGAACTATTCAACGTGAGAATGCAAGATAACGAATCACATAACTATAAAATACACAACAATAAATCGCAAAGTATGCAACAGTAACTCGCGTAATTACGATGAATTGAAATCCAACATTCGATTTCATCTTAAAATCGAAAAAACGATAATTAATTAATTAAAATATCTTATCAGCTAGATTAGACAGTGATATATACATTGAAAAAACCAGTGTATTTCTGTTATATATATCTTGTATAAACATAATTTGATTATCGTAGATATTTATTAAACTTTTGCTATCAATTTTATCAAATGTAAATGGGATGATTAATTATTATTTTCAAGCTCTCCGATACATTATATTTATGATCGATAACGAATCTCAAGGTGAATCAAATTGAGATAATAAAAAACGTCATATTTAAATTCGCTCGTTGAAGATGACTATGAAGAGTCCTGTGTCATTCCTTAAGTTTTGCTGTTAATGCCACTTTAAGCAACTAACCGGAACGACCCACGATTGTCGCATTCACTCGCTCAGTGAGAAAATGCTAATTGCAATTTGCGTCGAGAAGAAGACCCTCCAGAAAAGTGGGGCATCTCTTTAGAAAGTGCATTTTTTACACTGCTCAAAATGAAGTTTTTCGCGTCTGTTAGGTATCGTGTTCATTTATTTTGGAACCTCTTTTGTTGACAATTCACGAAAGAAGACAACATAATGATGATTAAATCCGGCAGACCAGGTCAGAAGCGCATGGATTCAGGATCGCGTTCCTCTAAGAAATGTATTGCTATACACCTGAGATTAATCCTGCCGATTTGATTTTTGCTTAAGAATGATCTCACGACGCCTCGACAAGAGAGAATGGTGTATAATTATGCGAAGTGAACAGTTAACCCCTAGTTGAAATAATCGCCGATACTAACATAGTCGCAAAGGTTTACGGATTGGTACGAGACTGTTTTACGTTAAATCGTGTTTGAAATTTATCCGACTCAATACAAAATCACCCATCCTATATACCATTGCTTTTCTATTATTTAAATTAAAGAAATATTTTTATAAACTTGGAACATAGTAGAATTTTATTCAAATTCAGAAAGTTGTAAAATAAATAATATCTTTATTTACAAATCGAAGAAAATAAATAATAATACTTTAGAATGCTTTATAATTTTTTAATGAAAATATATATAAATTTTATATATTTAATAAATATTTTTTTATTTTTATAAATTTTATGTTTTGAATATATAAGTAAAAGAAGGAGAGAAAAAGAGAATTTTAAGCTTTCTATATTATTTATTGTAAGATAGAAGTAGGATGAAATTTTTAAAGATGAAAGTACTTGATCAAACCACCGCGAAAAGCACCATCTCCTACAGCTCCTTTGGGATATTAAAACGACTGGCGTTTAATCAACAACGTATAAAAGAAGCGCTTTCTCCGGTGATAATTCGCGTATGTACGACAGACGACGACGACGACGACGACGACGACGACGACGACGACGTGGTCGTCTCTGCTCACCGCTCGTAATCGAAAAAGCAACGAGTGTGACCGGTTACTGTTATACGGAGGCTACATTACATGCGCTTGCCGTTGTTTGTTCTCCTCGCATCTCATTTGTACCGCGCCGCAGCAGCAACACTTATTACTCGAGGCGTCTTGCAAAATTTTTCTGCGAATAACTGTTCCGCTAAAAGCGTAAAGGCGAGCGCCGTAAATCAAGTCTTAGTCGGCTACATAATATGTGTTTACATATTTGCGAATATACTTGTATAAATATACCTCTGGAGGTATACTTTTCTCGGAACAATTTTTCACGCCACGCGTCGCTGTAGAATTAATTTATCACTGTTACCATTGTAATATTGCGTGCGCGAATTGTCTTGTATGTATGCGTCGTTAGCGGATCTTAATTGAGTCTTTGTAATTTCAGCACCGAATACAGTTCGACGACACCGCGACTCGTACTTTCGAGTATCCTAGCGAATCATCGATCCTCGAAGGCGAGACCAGTAGTGTGGATGGCGAGACTTCCGGTTCCATCGAGCAACAGTCTACGACGGGCAACAACAAAACCTCGACTACCAGCTCGACGACGACAAGTATGCCGTCTCTTCTCGGTAAAATCAAACTTGAATCTCGTTCGCTGGACTTGACAAGACATTTTTTGCAATTATTCCAACATAGTACTGATACTAACTAATAACTATCGATTAAAAAGCAAGTTAAATAAGACATTACATAAAAAAGACATTACATTATAATTGCAGATTATTATATCTGCATCCTCACTATTTTAAAAATACTGTTGCTATCTTTTATTTTACATATTCAAATATTTTATTTTACACACATACATATAATTTTTTTATATAATCGATAAATGGAAAAGAAAGAGAAATAGAGATAAATACATTCATTACTTTTAATTGTTTGCAGATGGTGGAGGATTAGCCAGTTATACACCCAGCAAGGTGGATTTGACGTCCGAAGGTTTTGAGCTGGGTATCACCAGAGCCATACCGATGGTAGTTTCCGCATCAGCAGCAACAGGACAAACTGAAAATAAGAGCGACGTAGAATGCTTGAGACCAGCTCAAGATGCAGGTGCGTGGGGTTCGGAAACGACCGGAGATCTTCTTTATTGAAGAGACAAAAAGAAGAAATGCAAACTACAAGCTTTAACAGCTACACCATTAACAGCTCAACGTCCCTCCGCAGCAATAGAATGAAAGAAACGAAAATGAAACTTATAAGACTTAAGAAATATTTTTTTTCTAGCGTCGACGAAATCGCGAAAACCACAAACACAAACGTCAATGTTATACCGAAGTTTAATAAAAAAGTTTATGACAAATGCTCACACAGTTATATAAAGCAAATTTTTCATAGAAAACAAGTTAGACGTCGCGTTCGTGATCGGACGAACACATACTGGACCACAAATAAATTATTGTCAAATATTTAAACTCATAATTAAGCTAAGTAAACCTTTTTCTCCGATTTCGAAGAAAATCAAAAGTGCGATCTCCGTTCATGAACGCTTTGAAAAGAAAGAATCGAGTTTATTTAGATTAAGTAAGAACTAACAGTATCATTCCAAGTATATGCATTTATTTTGTATCATTATGGTATATCAAATGAATGGACTTTTTCTCTAGACAATGAATCATCGAAACTGCCAAGAAACATTAGGGCTGTCTCTTTTGTAGTAACACTTGGAAGGAAATGCTCAGTGATACTGATACTTTGTTGCATAGAGAAAAGTATAAAGAGAACATATTATCTTTTTGGCATACTATATATGATAGAAGAGAAATCAACAGGAAAATCGAAAATTTTGTAACCTTTTTGAGATTATTTTAATGTTAAGCTGTGGAATGTTCAAGCTGCCAGTAAAAGGCCAGAGTTTTATGTGTGAGTTTTTATAAAAAAAAAGCGAATGATTGAATGTCTCAAAGATTCAATGGAAAGGAAAAGAAGTTCAAGAGAAAACATTTCGAGTCTAGATTTGTAAACGTTTTTGCCAAAGTAGAACGTAAGTCTACTTAGTATATTTAATAATGTATATGTACAATAAGTGTTTCAGAGTTCGGCAAAACTGTAAGAATTGTAAATTTCAGAACATTGTCATTTGTGCCGAATATATGGCAAATCATATTATAAGTATGCCTTGCAAGTAAGATAAGCCATTACAGTGTGTTTTTTCATATTTTGAGGTTGCATTTATTTTTCAAGTATATATAATACATGAAACTAATAGCTTTCTTCAGCATAGGAAATACATAAGAGAAAAAACAATTTAATAATAATTGTTAATTTTAAGATTGAATTTTGTATATACTAAATTGTTGTGCCGGTCTAAAAAGCCATCTGAGATAAGTCGAGTCACGAAAAATTCGAGATAAAAGAAAAATTATATTGTTTTAAGATCAGTTTTCTTGTATTATCTTTGTTTCTTTTTTTTCTTTTGTGTTAATCACTTTCTATTATCTATTGTAGCGTCTTGGATGCGTTACTATAAATAATCGAAAATATTGTTTTGAATCATGTAGGTATTCAATTCTCGTATAGTTATTTAATAATGTATGATTGTAGCAATATATATATGTAGTTAATATAATTTTAATTTTATCACTTGGACAGAGTAATTCAAGCGAAAAAATTCAATAAGAAAATAATTTATTATAAAAATTAATTGTATTAAAAGTATTACAAAGTTGTGTGAAGTAAAATTGTTGCCGCGTTTTGTTAAAATTTCAAATATATTTACTCTTTATTTAGATGCTGTACTAATTCACTATTCTTTGCAATATATTGCATTGTTTAAAAGACCTGTTTTTGTATCACAGCATTGTATCTCACATTGTGATATTTTTGTTAATTTTTGTAGTATAAAATACGTGATTTCTAATTTTTCTCAAACATAGTAATATACAAGTCGATATTCTTTGTATATCTCATTATCATGAGAACATTGCAAGGAGATAATAAAAAGATTATATTTGTGCAACATTCCAAATTCAAATCATGTTTGTATAAGTATTTTTCTTTTTCAAATTTGTCAATTATTAATCTGCTAATTGTAATCTCCTTGCTTCAATACAGGAGAAAGCTGTGTAACAGTTTTGTAAATTACCATTGTACAGTATCACAAGATATACCATGTCTCAAGTAAATAATAATAAGCAGAAACAATTGCAAGATAACGATTAATAACTGAGAGATGGAGAACTTAGATAGGTATATCTCCTTCTCTATATACATATATATATTATTACCTTTTTAAATATACTTACCATGTAAAAGTATCGTGTGATGTACTGTCTGTGTGTTACTAAATATCAAAGTAATAAAAGAGACAATTACCCCTTACTCCTTATGCACGACTTTGTTTGTAACTCTCCGTAAGATTAAGAAAATATATAGAAAAAGAAAGAAAAAAAAGAAAGAAAAACATGTTAGAAAATTAATCTTATTTATTAAATATGCAGTCGTTAATGCATATATATCTAAATTCATGAGTTAAGACATTAATTATTTTATCTGTACAAATTGATAAATCACGTTTTTAACAAATCATGATTCAAATTATAACACAATCTTATATATATTATAATATTCAAGACTAATGTTATTTATATATCGAGGTATAATATTCTTCTTCCAGATCATATAAATCCGCAGCCATATCGTCCCTCAGAGATGCTAACTTTTGATCACATTCCACTTGTTTAGTTCTAAATAACTTGCCATTTTGTATTATGGCATCATTTACAGAAGGGAAATCATTCAAGATTAAATACTGTTTTATATCGGAGACTAGCTTCATTAATGATTCACCAGCGCGCACAATATTGGATGCTCTAACTTGCATTTCATATGTGTCTTGTTCACATTGGGTCATCCGAGATAGTTGTGAGTCATTTTCTCCTTTTGCGAGTTTAATTATTTCTGAAAATAACAGAAACAGATTAAAATTATTAAGCCAACTATTATAAATCATGAAGGTAGAAGCAATATAATTATTAGGGATTTAATATTTCATTATATAAATCTCTTTCCAAATGCTAGTACACTTTTTATTAATACTTTTTAAAAATAAAAATCATTACATGATTATTGAGTTGTGCTAAGTACTATTGATATCAGTTTAATAGTTTTATTGTAAGAAGACTATATATATTTTATCATATTTATTAAAAAATTTTATAACTTGTAGTACAATTTATAACAATAACAATAATTATTCTACTTCATTTATTGCATATATATATATTTACATTTATTTCTCAACATTGTTACATATCAGTTGAATATTTTTAAGGTCACTCAACATTTCAAATCTTTGACTTGTTTGTCACACTTGTTTATCACATTCACTAATTGAGAATAATTAAAAATAAATATCAAAGTTTGAACATTGAATTTAAAGTGCGGAAATTCCTAGTTCTATTAATTAATTTTTTTCATTTATTTAGAAATATAGACCGAGATCGAAGCAATAATAATTGAAAACAAAAACAATAACACAAAAGGATGAACATGATGTGCATACACATTTTTACTATCTTTGCAGAGTGATTTTGATTCGTAAAACTATATCCACATAAGAAAATGCACTGTACATAAAATTAAAAATGAATAAAGAAACATATAAATAAAAATTTAGATACAAACTCAAATTATACTTAAAGATGAGAAATGCAGGTTAGAATACTTGAATATAGGTTAAAATACCTTCGAAATTTTCTAGCATCGACTTCACGTCGTCCTTCAGCCTTGTCATGTACGATTTCAATAAAGCTTCTTTACTTTGCGGAAGCGCGCGTTGCGTGGCCATTTTTTCCAATGGAAGAACTAAAATACGCGTATAGAGCACTATTTATATCGCACCGCTACCTTTCCCAACACAAGCGCGTCAGCCATTTTGAAGGAATCAGCTGATGAACTCCTATCGCTCGCGCATCTGACGTAGGTATTTACGATACTTTGACGTTTCACTCTTACGCTTCATCGGAGCTTTCATTAATCGTTTCTTTTTTTGTAGGGGTAAAGGAATCTTCAAATACATACCTCGCTTTTCGTGTGCGAGAAAAAGAACCTTTCGAAAGGAATGAATGAAAAGAAGGAAACGAAGAAAGAAACTTTACTTGCACCCGTAATTGGCCGTGTCATATTGATTTTCGCGCGAAGGCAAGCGCCGTTTTCGCGGAGTCGTCATCCCCCACCCACCCACCCTCTCCATCCCGCCCCATTCGCGAGGCCTTCCAGGGTTGGGAATCAATATGAATACGCCCGCGAAGCGCGCTCGTCGCTGAATTGTCCGCTTGCACGCGAGGAATCCCGGCCACGCGAGAACCGCGCGGGAAGGTGAGAGAGAGTATCCGTTGCGCGAGCGTCATCTCCGCTTCCGCAGTCACGGAGGATCGACTCGGTCGTTACCCGCCTCCCCTCTCCTCTCGAGTATATTTGCCGAAAGGGTGGCCCGGATCTCGTTGTACGCGGAACTCGCGCAATGCAACAATACGAACGGGGGTGGTCGCGCTGATTGACTCCGATCCTCCTCGTCGCTTTCCGACCTTGTGGACGAAGAATCGCAGGCGGAGGGTGCGTCGCGGAAACATCATCGCGGGGTAACGTGGAAGTTCCTGACTCGAGGACTTCGAGAGAAAAAAAACCGACATCGGAATCTTGATTTTCGCTGGTCGAGAAGTGGAACAAGAGCGACAAAGAGTGTGACGTTCACACGGGGTAGATTGACAAACGGTCGAACGCGCGCGTAACAGGGTCGCAAAGTCAAGAGGAAGAAAGAAAGGTAGAGAGAGAGAGAGAGAAAGGAGAGGCAGTGTTCATTAATCAATTGCACGTTAATTGGACGACGAGGTCAATTGCAAGAGGACGATGGCAGTGAGCGCTTTTTCGACGACATTGCCTACCACCGATTTTGCCACTACGTGTCCCACTACATCCGGTATGTCGTAGGAGAAAAAGAAAGAGATAGAGAGAGGAAACGTACAGTTTTAGCGAGAGCGCGTTTGCGACAGCAAGACGCTGCTGGCGGAATGGCGAGCGGTTTTCTTCGGCAATGCGCGATGTTGTTGGGCTTAATTGTGATTTTAATGACAGCGCTCTGGACCGAGGCGTCGCTTCCGCCCGAAGACGAGGAGGAGAACATCCTGCACATCGGCGGTATCTTCCCCATCGCTGGCGAGGGCGGCTGGCAAGGCGGCCAGGTATAAGAGCGATTTAATCCTTCCTTCATCCCGAAACCGCACTCGTGAAAATTAAGACGCGAATATTGCAAGAGACCGGCGCAATGTTGATCGAACTTGACGGGATTATCTTGAAATATATTTAATATTTTTAACCCTTTACAAAAAGTTTTAGGTCAAGGAAGCGTGAAGATATATCACAATTCCCGAGATGTTTCTTTTTTCATGAAGTAGGGCTCAAGTTTAATAATAGAACACTCTGTCGAAATAAAAGCGAGATACTTCATCAATCAACGTGGGTGATTGATAGTATGAATAATTAGCAGTCAGATTAATAATTCTTCCGTTCTGAAGATTTGCATTCGGGCAAACCTTAATTAGATTTTTATTTCGCCGTCGTTTTTCAATAATATTCTTAGATTTGTCAGGAATTAGATCATGTTCTATTATTGAAACTTTCATTTTCTTTGTAAATATATTTACAAAGAAGAATGATTATTACGTATCTTGTAACTTTCTTCATTTCCGTCTATCTTTCAGTTCTCTCGAATTATTCGATAACTTGTGACATTAATAGCATGCACAAATTGCTGACAAACTTTACAAGCCGCTTCGAAACTCTGAGATCAGATTCTAAAAGTTCTTGTAACGACACAAACAAGTTTATTGATAGAGTAATATTTCTCTTTGTGTTGAATCTCTCAAAGTCCAAGCAAAGTATTTTTAAAATATCGGAGAATCTTGCAGAGAATGAGAAGCGAAATCGCTTTAGTAAATTTTTGCGTGTATACTTTTTCCTGAAATATTATTCGAAAACTGCAGTAGCATGCCGAGAAAATTTTATAAAATATTATTGACGATACTTTTCGTTAACAAACGTTTATTTTTAAAAGATTGCAAATGTTCACTTTCTATAGTATTATATTTATATATTCTATAGTATTATATTTATTATATTTAATTCTTTTGTAATCAATTTTTCTGTAATCAATTTTTCTTCAATTTTTACGATGATCTGTTCTTCGTCAATTTTTGTTTTACATCTAAATATTGAAAATGCAATATAACTTATAGTAATATAATAATCAATTTGTCATTATTTATACAGTGTTATGTATAATAATAACAGTATAAAATAAAAAAAAGTCATGATAAATTAATTTATAAATTGATATGAGATAAGAAAATTATACGCGACATAATGGATCATTTGGGGTTCCTCGAAAGTTAATCGGAAAGATTGATCTACGTCTGATAGCATTTTATGGTGGTATATAATTTCCATAATACATTTCTATGAGCATGCACGAAAAAATTTAATAATAATCTATGACATCGTCATTTATACAGATAGTGTGAAACATGTATTTCCAATTTTACAAGTATCTTTTGCGTTATTGTAATAAAATCAAACACTTCTTTTGTATAAAATTATAAATATTCACACTTCAATTATGCCTTAGTATTATGTCTAAAGTAAAGAAATAGCGTTTCTTGTGCAATTTTTAGCCTACAGATGACATATATTTATCGAATGGCACCGCTTCTGACCCTGCATGCAAACTTGCTCATTAAATTAGGGGGTTAATCAAGCTGAATTGCATTATCATTTATTCAACAGGCTTGCATGCCAGCTGCGCACCTGGCCTTAGAGGACGTTAATCGCGAAAAGAACTTGTTACGCGGATATAGACTGCACCTTCATTCCAACGATAGCGAGGTAAATTCACGAAGATGCGTTTAATGGCATTATAATGGCGGATTATGCCCCCCGTCCTCTCCTCTTCTTGCGCCGGCTGGCGCGATGAAATTACCTCTGTAATTTATTACATTTCGCTTCCAGTGCGAACCCGGCCTCGGCGCATCCGTGATGTACAACTTACTGTACTTTCCACCCTATAAATTAATGCTGTTAGCCGGTTGCAGCACGGTCTGCACCACGGTCGCCGAGGCGGCCAAGATGTGGAATTTAGTAGTGGTGAGTGTCCTCGTTCACAGAGTTATTTTTCCGAGAAAAGCGAGAGGCGAATCGGAATTTTTCTTTTTTTTTTCTTTTTCTTTTCTTCTTGTCGCGAATTATATTCGGCACGCGAGTAGTAGAATAGAAACGAACGCGAGGAACGCTGCTAAAACACGTTTTCTTAGCTTTGTTACGGTGCATCGTCGCCAGCATTGTCCGACCGAAATCGATTCCCGACCCTCTTCAGGACGCATCCTTCCGCCACCGTACACAATCCCACGAGAATCAAACTGTTGCAAAAGTTCGGCTGGTCTCGGGTAGCGATATTACAACAAGCCGAGGAAGTGTTCATATCGGTAAGAACATCACGTTAATGAAGCTTCATTTAATTTATCGATATAACATGTATCTCTCACAAAGAAAAATCTCTCTGTGTTTTTGAAAAATAAGAAATCTAAACCAGACCTTATAATAAATTTTTATAGAGTGTAAATTTTTTATTTTATATAAATTTATTATCTTTTATAATAAACTCTTTATAAATATAAAATATAGTGTATACACTTTGTCTATTTTCGCACTAAAAACAAATTGAGCGAAAATGAAGATTAATGTTTTACGAGAAAAATTGCTGTAAAAATTCATAAAAATGAATATGAAATTTGATTTATCATAGACCGTCGAGGATCTAGAAGCTCGATGTAAAGAAGCTGGGATAGAGATAGTCACCCGACAGAGTTTCTTGTCGGATCCGACGGACGCGGTGAAAAATCTCCGCCGTCAAGACGCGCGGATAATAGTCGGACTGTTTTACGTGGTGGCTGCTAGGAGGGTACTCTGCGAGCTCTATCATCAGAAGCTGTACGGCAAGACCTACGTGTGGTTCTTCATAGGCTGGTACGAGGACGACTGGTTCGAGATCAATCTGGAGAAGGAGGGTATCACCTGTACCAAGGAGCAGATGCGACAGGCAGCGGAGGGGCACCTGACCACCGAGGCACTCATGTGGAATCAGAACAACGACACGACAATCAGCGGCATGACGGCCGAGGACTTTCGAAAGAGATTGAACAAACAATTGAAGGACGACGGTTACGATATAGACAACAATCGATATCCGGAAGGATATCAGGAAGCTCCCCTCGCCTACGACGCGGTCTGGTCCGTCGCGTTAGGTGAGTTTCTCGAGATGAGCGATTTAACAAATCCACGTGATCGCAATAATCGCTTTACCGTCGTTTCTCCTTTCTTCCCTTCCGTCTCTACCGTCAGCGTTTAATAGAACCATGGAGAGACTAAGCAAGATGGGAAACAGCTTGAAGAACTTTACTTATGATAACAAAGAGATTGCCGATGAGATATACGCGGCGGTAAACTCGACCCAATTTCTCGGTGTTTCCGTATGTAAAACTTGTTACAGCTTGAAAGTTACGACAATAGCGCTATTTTTAATTTTTTTTTTTTGGTAGGGATACGTCGCGTTCAGCTCGCAGGGCGACAGGATCGCTTTGACACAGATCGAACAAGTAATCGATGGAAAGTATGTCAAATTAGGATATTATGACACGCAAAGCGATAATCTGACATGGCGAAATGTAGAACGATGGATCGGTGAGAAGGTGCCGCAAGACAGAACGATAATAAGAACCGTTTTAAGAACGGTGTCACTGCCCTTATTCATAAGTATGGCGGCCTTGTCGGTGCTCGGTATCATAATAGCTATCGGATTGATCGTATTTAACGTCTATAATAGACACCGGAGGTATACTATACTCTACTCTATATATATATATATATATCGTTTTGAATTCATTAATACGATATTCGGCATACTGCGAACCGAGCTATAGTCCACAATCGATAGATGCAATGTCTATTTTTCAGAGTCATATATTCGTCTCATCCCAGCGCCAACACGATAATGCTACTGGGAATAATAGGCTGCTTCTTGGCTGTGTTGTGCATAGGGATTGACGGTAGGTTCGTGACTCCATGGCAGTTTGTAATAATCTGCCAAGCTAGAGCGTGGACGATGTCGATTGGCTTCACTCTTGCGTTTGGCGCCATGTTTAGCAAAGTTTGGAGAGTCCATCGACTCTCTACAAAAGCCAAAGCTGATCAGGGAAAAGTAAGTAAGTTGTAAATTAGTTGGTACAAGTAGTAGCGATAGTCGAGTCTCTCGATTGGCAAAGTGGTACGAGTAGCTTTTTACAATGTATTATGCAGCGTAGTATATTCAAAAAAAAATTCTACATGCCCTTTCATCCTTTCTCCAGCAAATTCTTGCAATCGTACCGCTTTTCCTTCTTGTTTTCCTCATTAGTAATGAGACTGATTTTTAGTTTTTTCACGAAGATGGAACCATCCTGCATGGTTTGCTGTTCCCGCATCTGTATGTCCCGCATCTTTAACCTATTCTCGATTCCTTTTAGTCATTGACGGCTAAACAAAAAGTTTCGTCTATACAGAAGAAGATTGAGCCGTGGAAGCTGTACGTTATGCTGAGTGGATTGCTATCGGTGGATATCATCCTCCTCGTCACTTGGCAGATGGTTGATCCGTTGCATAGAAGAATCGAGACCTTCTTGTTAGAGTTTCCTCCTTACGGAGACGAGGATGCAATGATCAAGCCTGAATTAGAACATTGCGAGAGCGAGCACAATAGTTTGTGGCTCGGTAAGTAAATATATAGTAGATCGCAAATACGTGTCGGAAGATAAATTCTGCGCGAGAATCGACGTAATGCTATTATGATGTAAATACCAAGATTGGGAATATTTTTTTCAGGCTTGCTTTACGGCTACAAAGGCATTGTTCTAGCTTTCGGACTCTTTCTATCTTACGAAACGAGAAGCCTCAAAATCAAACTGATCAACGATTCCAGATACGTGGGCATGTCAATATATAATATTGTAGTTCTATGTCTCATAACGGTACCCGTGGTAATGGTCATCTCTAGCCAGCAAGACGCTAGTTACGCCTTCTCGGCTCTAGCTACTAACTTTTGTTGCTTTCTCAGCATGGCGCTCATCTTTGTGCCGAAGGTTATCGAGGTGATTAGGCATCCCAAAGATAAGTCCGAGTCGAGATACAATCCGGACGGCGCGGTGTCCAAGGAGGAAGAAGAAAAGTATCAAAAATTGCTCAATGAAAACGATGAGCTTCAAAAACTTATCGCTGCGGTAAGAATATAACACGTCGACGATCTTATCGATTAATTATTATGTAATACGCATTTTCTTGTCTGTATATTTCAGAAGGAGGAAAAGATTCAAGTCATCAAGCAGAAGCTGGCCGAACGCGATGCTCTGAAGGGAACCGGCACAACGAGTCGTTGCAGGCAAGGTCAACCCAAACAATCCTTCATCGTTACCGATTACCCGACTGGCGAGGGGACATCGGACAGTGCTATCGGTGGGGGTATTTCCATTTGTACAAAATCCTCTCGCGCTTCCGCTTCTGATGTTGAGTTTTCAGAGACGTACTTATAATCTCTACGCAAATACGAGTAAAATCATACCATTGTCGGACATCTTTTCGCGCGACCGCGCGATACATTTGGGACCTAAAGTTTCTTTCTCAACCTCTCGGTGATTATCATTACGCTTCGCTTTTAAAGCTTTATGCTCGAATATATTTCCAATTTATTATTTGTCGTAAGTATCGATGGGTATGTACTTTTGCGTTTCTTCATAATGCACTCACAGGAAAATGTCTCGTTGCAAATGACTGGAATAATATATCACAATGATGAAATACTGATTACATTTGCACAATAAGATAAAAAAGAAATCGATCGAGCAATAAGAGAGCACGTATTTTTTTCCATGCAATTAGTGCACAATAAATTCTGTTGTGTTATCTTTATTGATATAGTTACGTACGCGGAATAACAAAAAATAATTATTAATGAAATAATAACGAGAGAAATGTTAATGTCATAAATGTTAGTTCTTCGGCTAACTGTTAGAGAATTTTTTTCATTAGATAATGCGACTCTTATATTAAGTCGCTTTTGTAAAAATGTACATTACTTTCGTAGTTTTAGTGCTTATCTTTAAATGTTAAACACGCAAATATCAATTAAAAAATACGAAAACTAGTGACTCTTTCATGTAATAAACAAATTAGTAATTTTGCGCGAATATTTAAATAAACGAGAAATACATGCAATTAGATAAAATCAAGCCTATGTTATGTAAAGACAGGCCTTATCTTTCTGACGACATACGCATCATATGAATATGTTATTTTTTGTAATTATATGTTACATTTATATATAACCGTTTATAACCGTTTTCCTCGTTTAAAAATTTAATTGTTTTATAGATAAATGTATATATCTAATATTGAATATTTGTGAGAGTTTATCGAGTGCATTTTTCAGCACTATGAGAAAGTATTCAATCAGATTCTCTCTTAGCGTAATACAATCTTATCCTATGGACCAAGTTATCCCATGAAATAACATTTTCAGGGATAGAGCTTTTGAGTATTTTATATTCTAACTTTTAACTTTTATCGAGAGAAAAAATATATGCTCGGGGGAAAAAATACAATGAAGCTTTCTTAATCATAAATTATAATTTTTAGTTAGAAATATACCTTTTACATTTAAATTTAAAAAATATTTTAACAGAATTATACAAGAAATAAAAGCGAAACGTATTTATTTATACGATGAATTTAAATTCTTCGTATTTGAAATGAAATTGTCACAAATACACACACCCACACATATTGTTTCCAAATGAAAAATAGAAGGATTGAAGCTATGTTCTTCTTATATTATTCTCTCGTGTAATTATTTTTCTCTTGTACAAATATTTATATCTTTTCGATTCCAAACAAGATAAGAAAAAATATAAAGTATTTTAAAAACGCACAATATATATAATTACGATATATACATATGTTAATTGGAGTAAAAACGAATTGATCATTAACTCGGCTCTATAAATACTGCGGCTATAATTACAAATTGAACTTGACTGGCTCTTAGGATGATGTTCATAATATTCTTGTTATTTATTGCAGAGCACATATACACAAAATACTTTAAAAAATATTTATGTTAGGCCTAAAATAATCTTTACGATTATACGTGGCTCAGTTGTTGCAGTTAAATCTCGTTAGAAAAGTGTCGTGTTAATTGTATAAAATGTCGATTGTATCAAATTGTGAACCTCATGAAGCGCACTCCCAAATTTGAAAAGACTATCTATGAAAATCCAATTGTCATTTGGTCCCAATTGGATTAACACATTTATACGTGCGAAATGTATGTGCTAACGAGATTTAAATGCCTATGAATTTTTTATGCCGTTTGTTTATAATTTGGGAGTCTTGATGAGGTAAAATCTTATACGTTATTGTTTAATTTAGTGCAAGTTTGTCTCTTGGGATGTGCTTGTTAATTTTTGACGAATATTTTTATCGAGATGATATTATTTCCAATCCTTAGGCTACAGAAACGTATATATTTATACATGTATATTCTCGACTTCCAAATCATTTACGGACAATTGCGTCTATGAGAGCTTGCTCGAGAGAAATAGAAAAAGAAAGATTTGTGTTATTTGACTTTCTGTTTTTAGGCACGCAGCACGTCGCCGAAATGTACGAACTGCACCGACTATGATGCCAAAGCAATACACACACAAACGAGCGCTACGCTTGCGACAAAACTCTCTTCTAAAACTAGTATTAAACCTACGTGCACGGTCAATATGCGAATTATATAATGAAAAAATGAACCTCGAATAAAAAAAAAACCGCCAAAAGCGAAGAACGCGCGAGATGTAATTTCGCGACGACGAGAAACGATTGTCACGTATTTAAAGTGTAAGTTAGTTTATAGCGCGTGTGGAATTGTTTTATATTTCGATACGGTATAAATACACGATTCGATTGCGCCTTAGAGGAAAAACAAAAAATCGAGAAGAGGAAGGAGGAACGGCGAAAAAAGCATCGCGCAAAAAAAGAAATCTGTCGTCGTACACACCGTAAATCCCGTGTGTATATAGACGGATTTTTTTTTTTTCAATCAATCGAACGTAATTTCTCGTTTATTGTATCCACGCGCCCTCCCCCTCTCTGCCCTCCCTATTCACACATGCAGTACTTTTTACTGTACTCATTCGATCAACTGCCGCGCAAACGGCGCTTTCAAGTCTAGCATTATATATACATATACGATAGTCCTATCGAACTGTTGACGAAAGTATCACATATATGTATGTTAGATATTATGGAGAGATATTTATTTTTAAGTTTTTGAATTATAAAAATCCGTTAAAAATATCGAAGGCTCTATCTATTATTAAACCCTGAGATTGTTTACGATTAAGAAGTCGCGCGAATCGTGTGTAACGCGAACGTACATATATATCTCTACGTTGTTTTTAGAGCTGGCATTTTAATAAAGGAACTTGAAGACAAGAGAAAGAAGGAGAATTATATATCTCGGAGTTTACATACTTACTTTGTGATACATATACATTATACTCTTTCGATTAAACACAATTAGCGCGCGCGAAAATACCGAAGAATTAGAATAGAAGAAATATAATTTAATATAAATATGCGTATATAATTTAATATGCATACAGAGCGTGTACATTACAGATGTTGTGTATATTAAAATACATCGTATAAATACCGAATCGAAAGTAAAGGACTATAGTAAAAAAAGAGTTAAATAAATGCGTAGCCTCACATTTTTTTCAAACTGTGCGAAGCAGCCAGGCATCCGTCAGGGAATTTGTAGCGTCGCGCAGATCTTCTGCGCAGGCCTCTCCCGCGCGCGCTCGGTCGCGTTCGTAAAATATACGCGTGGGAGGGATCGACTGGCCAATCAGGACAGAGGGAGCGAAAAAGAGACTTTCTCATTGGTCGAGAAAAACTCGGGGCGCTCTCATTGGTCGAAACAAACTCAGGGCTCTCTCATTGGTCGGGACAAACTCGGGACGCTTGGTGGTAGATCGACGTAGATTCTTCGAACGCGACTCCTGTCAAGCACGTGCGACGGCCATGTTGCAGCCCGCCGCCAACTGTCGTCGACGACGCGACGCGTCGTTTTAACCTACGACGATCGAGCCCGAAGATCGGAATGTCGTTCGGCACCGGCTTTGGAACGTCCACGTCGACGCCCGCACCCACGTTCGCCTTCGGCACCACGCCGGCCTCCACGGCGACGCCGGTTAAACCTGGTAAGCCATCCTGGTTAGCGAGTTGGAGAAACGCGGGTTTTTCGCAGCTTCGCTGTCTCTTTCTCGCAATAATGTCTATTTCTTTCTCTCTCTTTTTCTCTCTCGACGGATGTAAAGATATTAAGACACATTCCTCTTTTGTACAAATATTTTGCAACAGATCGAGAAACGTGACTCTGTTCAATTCTTCGTGGAATTATCACTGGTTCTAGTGGTATCAGAGGTCTTGTTTACCCTGTCTAAACGTAGCAAAGGCTGATTTACGCCACTGCATTCCGGATCGCACTCGATGTCGCTTTTTGTGAAGAAAGCGTGCCTGCTCCTGGATCTCGCGATTATGCACGCTGTGATGCAGCACATAAATAATATGATTAAAAGTGCAGTCAGTAAAATGAGTAGCAGTGTCGAACGTTCTGTATATTCAGATTTAACAGTTTCGATTGGAGTCAATGTGGTAAGATTGTTATCAAGTATCGTATGTAATTCGTTGCTGGAAGAAACGGTTTTACCGCTGAAAGTTGTGTCCTCCAAATAATACATTTCATTTGGTATTTTTCCAAGTGTTGTTATCATAATTTCTGCTGTTGCATCCTGTATAAGGATAGTTGAATTAAATTATCACAAAGTTATGTAATTATATCTAGAGAGAGAGAGAGAGAGAGAGAAGGAATAAATTATATTATTATGTATATACCCCAATTGCTACATCTGTAGTACCAAGTTCGTTTACAATTTGAGTGGAAGAATCATATATCGATTTAATGTGGCGGAAGTTGATATTAGTGCTGGATATAGAACCCAACTTCAACGAATTGTGTGCTAGTTGTGCATAGAAACCAGTCTGTTAACAATTTTTAAAGCACACATTATATTAAAAACTATATTTTATTAATAAAGTAAAAGAATAGAAATTCAAATTATCTAAATTTTTTAGTCTTATTCTTTTGCTGTTAAATATTTACCTGTAGTTCATTTTGATGATTTAGAAATGTCATTTTTTACTTTATAACTTTATATTTTTTACATAATTATATTATTATGTGATTGATTGTTAAACTTATATATATTGAAATTTTATTAAATATTTTTATACTTTAATATAGATAAAATTAAATGTGTTTATACAATTTTTTCCAATAAATATTGTATTTAAAATTGTTATCATAAAATAAGTAACAAATAAAAGCAAATCTTTTTTATATTGACATATTTTATCCAACTTTGTCAAACAAAAGAAAATAGATGTGATATTTATTGTTATATTTAAAACTCAGATAATATCATAATGCTCACTGGTGTGTATATATATATGTAGCAAAAAAAAATTAATTACAATTAATAATTTTTCTTTATAATTTAAGTTACAAAAATTCTTATTCTTTATATTTAAGTCACAAAATTTTTTTCTTCTTTTAAAAAAATTTTTAATGTTTGCTTTTGTCGAAAATATATTAATCTACATTAAAATTTTTAAGTGGCAGGATTTGGAACACCCTCATTCGGATTTAGTACACCAACTACTTCAACACCAAGTTTATTTGGTACCCCGTCGACTCAAACTACTGGATTTGGTACTGGAACAGGATTTGGTACTCCAGCAGCTACAGGATTTGGTGGCACGTCAACCACAGGTTTTGGATCTGCCCCTACATTTGGTAGCACATCAACTAGTGCCTTTGGTACAGGGCCAGCTTTTGGGAGTACTCCTGCTTCCTCTGCAACTACTGGATTTGGTACAACTTCGACTTTTGGCAATCCTCCAGCCTCCACGACCGGTTTCGGTGGATTTGGAACAGCAACAACAACATCGTCATTAAGTTTCGGAAATTTCGGTGGATTTGGAACAACTACTACTACATCTGCTCCTAGTTTGTTTGGTGGATTCGGTACTACAAATACCGTCTCAACCGGTTTCGGCGCTTCCACAGGTTTTGGTACATTTGGAAGCAAACCAGTCACCACTAGTGGTACACCTGGATTTGGTGGATTTGGGACAGGTAATTTGTTGTGAATTGATACTACAATATTTTACTAATGTGTATATTTATATTATACATACTTATATACATTTATATTATAGGATTTACTGGATTTGGTACTGGATTGACGCAACCTCAACAACAACAACAACAGCAACAACAACAACCTGCAGATAATATATCAGAAGCTCTTTATAATGCTGTGTTTAATTGCCAATTGTATAATGACGAGCGAGACAATACTATTGCCAGATGGAATCTTATTCAAGCATTATGGGGTACAGGAAAGGCTTATTATTCTATAAACGCACCACCTATAGATCTTACCCAGGAAAATTCGTTGTGCAGATTCAAAGCCATCGGATATAGCCGTATACCCGATGCTGACAACAACGATGGTTTAGTAGTGTTATGTTTCAATAAAAAAGAAAAGGATGTACAGGATGGCAAACAACAATTGATTGTATTTCTGAGTGGTTTACTGGGGAATAAGCCCAATCTAACAGTAACTATTGACAATATTAAATCCACAGGAGAAAATAAGAGTCAAGTGACAATATATGTGTCAGAAAAAGGAATTACTGGCTCTTATAGAAAAATTCCTGCCAACGAATTCGTTGCGTATTTGTCACAGATGATGCAAAAGCAACAACTGCTACAAAATGGAGTTGAAGATATATTTCCACTAATGAAACTCGATCCGTCCCAGTTAAAAGAATATTTAGATAATCCACCTTGTGCTATTGATGCCAGATTATGGAAGCAAGCGCAATTGGATAATCCCAATCCAGAATTGTATATCCCAGTTCCTATGATTGGATTTCAGCAAGTTAAACACAGATTGAAATGTCAAGAAGAGGAGACGGCTAGACATAGAGCGTTCTTAGATATGACAGCAGAAAAAATACAAGGCGTACAGAGACAGCATACAGCTACGCAAGCCCGGCTCAAGGAACATAGACGTACATTATTGGAACTTCAACACAGAGTTCTGCAGGTATAACGACGATTAATTATTATTTATTAATTGTGTAGTTGTAATATTTTTGCCCGTTAACGACAAATTCTACTTATTACAGGTGTTAGTTCGACAAGAAATTACGCGCAAAATTGGATTATCTTTGCAACCGGAAGAAGAAGTTTTAACACGCAGATTTGAAGCGATGCATTCGCAAATCAGTGCCCCGACACAATATAAAGGTAGAATTAGCGAAATGCTTTCTCAGCTTAGAATGAGACGGCATATCGATATTCAAAATCAGGAAAGATATACAATGGATCCTATAGCACAAGATGATATTAAAGCGGTAAATAAATATTCTTCTTTTTTTTTCAAGAGATTATGGAATAGTGTACAGGCATAATAGATTTTTTTCTATTATTTTAGTACCTGAGTATGGAACAACAGGGCATGGCGCAACTTATTTCAACAATAAATACCGATTTAGAAAGCTTAAAAATTATCAAAGACGGAATGTCGGATCTTTTAATGAGCCAAAGTATATCCTGAGGATTGTAATGTATAATAAAATTTTTTCACATGCCTTCCATATAGTTAAGAATTAACATTATCAACATTATTGATGACATGATTAATATATAAATTATATCTTTCATAAAATTGTGCCATATTTATTTCATTTATTCTACAATTCTTTTGTACTTGAATGTTGAAGTGTTAATGGATTTTGCTTATTTAATGATTTTGGCAGTTTAATGATGTTTGCTTACTCATTATGCAAAAAATTATATTGGTTTTTACTTTATTTCATATATTTTGTATATTTCTATATTTTATAAAATCTGCTCTGCAAATAAAAAAGTATGCATAAAACATATTGCATAACAGGATAAAGTAAATTCTGTAGATTAATTGCATTCTTTAGATAAATAAATCAATGATTTAATAAATATAAAACAATAGATATTACAAAAAAATATGTTTCACAATAATAAATAGAAAATTTTTACAAAATTTGAATGTTACATATTTATCATAGTTTTATGCTTTCACAATATTTTTAAATCAAAATAAAAAAATCTGAAGTTTTTTACAAAATATTATTGTCCCTGTATGACATTTTCAGTATAGATGAAATTGGAATATATCAAAATTATGATTATTACAAATAGAGTTATAAGCTATTTACAACTTTCGTTATTTTCTATTACATCAAATGCTTTACATGTATTTTTCGTTGGTGATAAAGATTTATTGTGAGCATCCTGGCCTATGGTCATTTTTAATAATTTTAGAACAGATTTCTTATCTGTACTATCACTTTCTGTGAACAAAAATAAATCTTGTTAATATTTTTGCTACAAGTGTAACTTGCACTTGTACATATTGCTTACCTTCATTTCCAGTAATTTGTTGTTCAAGATGCAATTTTTCTTGAGCTATCTCATACATATTTTCCTCTATTGTGTTTTCGCTTAATAATCTAATTATCGTAACCGGTCTGTAAAAAAATTCAGAAGTCTTGTAACAAATCCGTTTTTAATTAATGATAAAACATGCATATTTTATTCCAACTTAAATGTATAATCATATATTTATATATATACTTTTCTTGCCCAACACGATGACATCGATCTTCTGCTTGTTTATCATTGTAAGGATTGAAATCTATATCGTGAATTATAACAGTATCGGCAGCTGTTAAATTGATCCCCAAACCTCCGGCTCTTGTAGATAGTAAAAATATGAATATATTTTCATCTTGTGTATATTCGTTTATAAGAGTCTGTCTTTCAGTCACAGGTGTACTACCGTCTAGCCTAATTTGAATATTAAATTCATTAATATTCAATTGACATGCAATTCAAATCAATCTTATAATTATTGCTAACCTTAAGAATGTGTGTCCTCTAATAGTTAAATATTCCTCGAGTATGTCTAATATCATAGTAAATTGGCTAAAAATGAGTGTTCTATGACCATCTTTTTTCAGTTGTGGTAGTAATTTGTCCAATTCCTTTAATTTTCCAGCTTGAGGAATAAGCTCCTGGGGCAAACCAAAGCCAGCTACACTTTTGTACATACGTGTCAATTGATTTATTTGATAATCAGATGTCCAAATCAACTCTTCAAAGACATACTCTGAATTCTTCTGTTTGTAACCTGGTTCTTTCACCAATCTGTTTGCTATAGCCTAATGGTAATACATTAATATATCAGATCAAAAGAAATAAAAAAAAGAATATATACTTTTCAGAAGTATATATATATAAAATAATAATTACTTTAAGTTTTTTCTCATCGTAATAATCGCGTACGAGAAGGGGATGATTGGCGAGTTTTCTCAATTGCATCATCATGCCAGTTCCATTCACTTCCGTAATTTCGCTAGCCTCTGCTGAAAATTGTGCGACTAATTTATTATACATGCTTTGCTGTTTCTCAATTAATGCGCATCGTATGATTTCGTCTTTTTTATAAGGCAAATCACGTAGGACTTGACTTTTAAGTCGTCGAAGAACAAATGGTCGCATAATTTCCTTTGCATTCTTAACTTGTTCTCTTTCGAACAGCGGCTGTTCTCCGTTTCTTTTATCGCCTTTCTGAAAATTTATTTTCGAATACATGAATTATAATTATGTGTATATGTATATATATATATATATATATATATATATATATATATACTTTTAATTTTTAGTAATTATTTAATAATTATTTAACTTACAGAATTTTTGGAGAATAAACTTTTTATATCTGCTTGTTTGCCAGCAAACAATGAAGGCATTACAAATATCAATAAAGACATTAATTCCAATAAATTATTTTGTAGAGGTGTACCAGTCAACAAAATCCGATGCTTAGCCTTTAAAAACAATTAGATTTCGTTACAAGAAAGATTTCCTTATTTATATACATATATAATAAATACATACATTAATCCTAACAAGATTTTCATATCTAACAGTGCTCATATTTTTGAGCATATGAGCTTCATCAAAAATTACATAGTTAATCCGCATAACCCGAAATAATCTACGCTCCTCTGGAGTGCTACAAATTAAATTGTATGTAGTTAACAGAACATCAACATCATCAAGATCACCACTTCGCCATCCCATTCGCATATCTTTTCGTTCTTCTTGAGAGCCATAATATTGTACAACTTTCAAATCAGGTGACCATTTTTCTAATTCGTTCCACCAATTTTCTACAAAGAAAAAAAAATAAATATATCTGATAAAATCCTATTAATAGATTATTATTAAACATTACAAGATACATTACCCATAGTCGAACTGGGAACAACAATTAAATGAGGCCCATCTCTTTCATTGAGAAGACAAGCTTCTTTTAAATATGTTAGAAATGCTATCACTTGTACCGTTTTTCCTAGACCCATTTCATCAGCTAATATACCATTCACATTTTGTGCATGCATAACGGCGAGCCAATTCAAGCCAACCATTTGGTATGGAGCTAATGTTAAATGCGAAGATAGTGCTTTTGGTTGTTGTGTTATAGCTGAAGCACCAGCAGCCACAGCTTTTTCCATATTGGTGGATAAACGAAGGCATTTTTTCATTAGACTCTCTACTACATGACGTGTAGATAATAATACCTTTAGACACATTAAAAATAAAATTAATTAAAAAATTAATAACAATAATTGACAGATATATTTTGTCCTTGTGAAACTCTTTTAATTCTATATACATATCAAAAAATTATTTTTTATATTCTAACAGATCAAAAACTAAATACTGTTAATCATACGTCTCTATTTTGTTAAATTTACCTGAGCTGCATTTAGTAATTCTGTGTCTAAGTATCTTGTATTTTGAAATTTATTTACTAAGTCTCTCCAATCTTCAAATGGTCTCGCTTCTACAATAGCATTAGCTCGCTTTTGAGAACATTGAGACATGAGAAGGAGCTCTGAAAGCAGAGCAGTTCGCATAAATTCCAAAACTGCCTTTTTATCACCTGTGAGCTCATTAGATATCTCTATATCCGAGTCTTCATCACTATAAAATAATATATAATAATAATAATGTTTCTCTTAGCATTATATATATATATATATATATATATATATATATATATATACATACACACACATTTAACTATGAGTAGAAAGTATTATAAAATTATGTACCTATTGAATACTTTGTCTTTATAATTTCCTTCATCTGAATCAATATCTACATCTTCATCTACATTCATTTTTCTTCTTTTCTTTTTACTAGATTTTGCAGATTCCTTCAAACTCCTTTTTCTATTCTTTTTAAGTGCTTCCTCGGCCTCGTCAACATTCCAATTAGTATTACTAAGTTCTTCCTCTATAAGCTAAAAAAAAATTACTTAATTATTGTTATATATATATATATATATATATATATATATATAATTATATATAATATTAATAGACATGTTGCATATTGAAAATTATATTTTTTGCTATATTAGGCACTATTGGTTTAACATTATTTGTGCTTTGATCAAATTTAATTTATTATTCTAAAGATTGCAAAAAGATTTGGCTAATAAAAAGTAAAATAAAAGCTTATACTATGATATAATTTATATGATATAATTAGATAAACTACTCCAATAAATTATTTAAATGTGAAAGAAAAAGTTTTACTTAGGATAATTTGACTGCTTACCAATACATCAGTCTGTGGATACAAAGCTGTCAGGTACTTTAACTTATTCTCTTTACCTTTGGCATTACAGTCTAAACTTGATTTAGCTGGGCTACCAATATCACTGTCGCTATCCTCAATACGATTTACAGCTTTACGGCGCACTTGTGCATCAGAACTTACCAAATTACTATCGTCATCAGCTAAAATAAAGTTAAAAAATAATATATGTAAAATTTCTCACTTTTATATATATATATATATATATATATATATTTACCACTTTATATATATATATATATATATATATATATATAAAGTGATAAATAGAATAAATGTATACTTAATAAAAAGGAAATATCAAATTAAATATTATAAATATTAATATTAAATATAAGTATTAAATATTTTTGTATCATGTTACAACTACAAATTTACATAATAAGTTTATAATTTATAATAGATAAGTATACACAAATGGAAAATACTTTATATAAATTACGCGAATCAAAATTAATTTTTAAGTAATGAACAACTAAATCGAAGTAGAATTGACACGAATTTTACACGAATACATCGTTTGCAGAAACGCAATGAAGAATCCAAAGGACACACGCACCGGTTGCATTCGATTAACGAGTAACTAGAGAAATACGAGAAATGTGCGCCAAGAAATCTTACACATGTTTATTGCTTTCGTTTGTTTTTTTTGAAAGCGAAACTGCCGCAGGAGGCTGGAGCTACTGGTATCCGTTTTAGGCGAATTCGATTCGGACATCGCGTCAACCGTGCGAGGGACGCTGACAAGAGCGCATTTTTGTAAAGGAACTTTCAAGAATCGTGTAGCAGGTGCATTCAGAACCGCTACGTAGAGCGCGTCGAGATCTACGTAGAAACACGTAGAATGTAGATCAGACGTAGCGCGCGCATCCGGCGGGATAGTATTAATGCCTGATTTTCATACGAGATTTTTTTTCCAACATTTTTCTCCCGAATGAATTTTATCGCGTACAAAACTTTTGACGCATTCAAGAGTAATTTAAACAGTCGAGAGTTCAAGATAGTCGAGAGTGCGATGCGATAAGGGGTCTTTTAAAAATTACGTGATTTTTCTTCAATTTCTTTCTAGATTTAAGATTGAAAAATAACACTCGGTATATATTACAAACATTGAATGTTACATCGATATTAATTTTTCCTCTTTCCTGAAAAATCTTTATCTTTCATCGTTTTCTCAGCAAGTGTCTCGATTCGCAAGAAGGAATTGCGTAGCTCGCTTCTCGATTGGCTGATCATAACGCGCGTAGGAAAAAAAAAGGAAAAGAAAATTCGCGCACACCCGCGGAAATTGCGCAGGCGTACTCTCGCGTACAAGTATTCGCGCGAAGCGCTGTCTTGAGTATATATTATTTAGGGTCACGATCTCGCTCGCTCGCTCTCTCTCTCTCTCTCTCTCTCGCCAATAATGTTCTCAGAGGGGTTTCTCGCGCATGCGCGTTAAATACCTTAAGGTGCTTGTCACGTTTATAAAAAGAAGGTGCTGCGTTAAACAGATTTTAAGCCTTCTGTTTGGATAGTGTTAAAAATAATCTAAAAAATGTTCTACAAATTAATACATTACAAATAAATAAATAAAGGCTAATAAAAGAAGCAATATGAATTTATTATACTCCTTTGTACTTAGCCTCTTCTGAAATCCGTTAAACTTTCGCGCCTATTTGCCATATGTGTACTGCCACAGGTACTGCCTTTGCTGGGTTTTTTCCATCATTGTGCTGCGCATGCGCAAGAAAACGTCCCCGAGAACAACGCGCCATCGCCACGTCGTCTGCTCTCGCGCCGTCTCCACGTCGTCTGCTCTTATCTTACCGTTTATTTGTGTCTATTGTTTGGTCAGAAACATCAAGTTGAGGTTGAAACCGAGGTGAATATGCACGGTATGTGATTCAAGCACGCGGAACGAACGTGGAACGGACTGACGGATTGACAGATTGACGAAAAAATGTTGCTGTACACGTTAATTGGCGGCTACATGCTTACTTCGGTGCTGCTGTTCAAGTATCCCACCCTGCTACACAAGAAAAAAAGGGTGAAGTTTTTGTGCCAGCACATCAGCCACCGGGGCGGTGAGTCGTCGTCGTTGTCCTCTTCTTCCCCCACCCCCACCCCATGTGTTTACCTCCCTCGTCTCGGGTCTCTTCTCGTTGCGATGCGCGTATGAGTGTCCTCTCTCTGTGTCAATTTTATTAATTTTTGCTGTATGTGATACCCTTTTAGGAGCGGGCGAGAGCTATGAGAACACGATGTGCGCATTTAGACGGTTAGTTAAAATATATTGTTTACTCAAGACTCTTGTGTACTTTTAAGCTAAGACTGCGAGAATTTTTCATCACACCAGTTGCCAGTGTGAATAAATTAATGTCATTATCAGATACGTATTTCACATCCTTGTAAATAGCTTTATCCAAAATATACGTTGCGTATGATACACAACAGAGAAGTAGAAATGTTCCACGTTCATTTTTATGATCTAACGTTGGTGTTTTGTATCCTTGCAAAAGATATCTGTTTTGCACAATTAATATAAACTTATACTGAGATATTAAAATAGAATTTATACTGAGCTTATACTGAGATATTAAAATAGAATTATACATACAAGATTATATGTACAGATACACGAACAGTATATATTTAGGTATACGACTCTTTTATATTTTAATATAACAATCAAGAATTATATTATGAACTTTATTAGCTTCTAACATTATTATGCAATGTTAATTAGATATGTACAGAAAATTAAAATTATATTAATATTGATTTGTCAAACATGCCGTTAAAAGTATAAAGGATAAAATTGTGATAGATAAGCTGAGCTTTAAAAAAGTTAATTACTTGAAATACATATTTTATAATAGCACCAAATGTACTATAATATATTTGAATTAAATTTTTCCTGCAGTTTTTTATGTCTATCATTAAATTAATGTAATTGCAATAAAATTACAAAAATATTTTTGATTTATCAACAAGGATATTTTTGATTTCAGTATATCAATAATAGATATCAGTAATTATCAGTATATCAATGGATATCAGTAATTCGTTTGATTATTGATTAAATACTTCATACTTATTTGAAATTGTATTAATAATTTGCTCATTCACATAACACATATACACTGCCAAGTGATATTTAACATTTTTACTTACAATTACAGAGCAGTGGCTATTGGAACTCAAATGTTGGAGTTAGATTGTCATCTTACAAGAGATGGCGAAGTAGTAGTTTCTCACGATCACAATCTTTTACGCAGCACTGGTGTAGATAAAAATATTTCTGAATTGGATTACAAAGATTTACCACTCTTAAAGCAACGTTTACCAATTGATTTTGAGCCAGGTATTATTATTTATTATTTTAAGAATAAATTATACTTTTGAATAAAATTATTTAAAAGCTGTAGTTAACAGATGTCGAGTATGTTGGTTCTGCGAGGGAAGAAGATCGACGATTTGCCTTGCTACGAGAGGTCTTTGAGGCATTTCCCACTCTTCCTATTAATATCGATATTAAAGTCAATGATGATCGACTTATATCAAAAGTTTCTGACCTTATAAAACAATACAATAGAGAGGAATATACAGTTTGGGGAAACTTTAGTGATGAGGTCACACAGAAATGTTATAAAATGGTATGCAAGTGGTGTGCAAATTTATTAAACTCTTTAAAAATTTAACTCAATATATTATTGAAAAAATATGAAATAATATTTTATTAAAAATTTGATAACTTTTACTTAGCTATTCTTGATATTTGATCTTATTATAAAAGAATATAATTAACTTATAATTGATGTATGAAAGTGTATTTATTATATCATGTAGTATTGATGGAAGGAATTTCAACAAACCTGATAGAGAATAATAATTAATTTAATAATTAATTTTTTTAAATAGAAATCAAATAGAATAGAAAGAAGTCTTTTATAAACTTGTTTTATAAACTCCTTTTATAGAGTTGTTTATAATATTCTCGATTTTTTTTTATAGAATCCAAATGTGAACCTACTTTTTTCAATGCAACGTGTGACAATATTGGTATTTCTCATGTATACTGGCTTGTTGCCATTTGTACCACTAAAGGAAACACATCTCGAAATTTTCTTACCTTCAATCTATTTGCGGTAAATATACTTGAAATATTTCTTTAGAATTACAACAATAGATTTACTAAACACAAGTGAATTTTTCTTGTATTTTTCTTCTAGACGCAAAGGCGGGCCTAGTCCAACATTTTTACCACTGGAAAAATTTGTCGTACGTACAATTAATGTACTGTTAATGCGGCCATGCTTATTTAATCATCTAAGAGCACGAGGCATACATGTAAGTATATATATATATATATACATATCTATATTACAATTCACACGATTATGCATTAATTTCCTAATGCTATTGCTTATTATATATGTCTATGTATAGGTTTACTTTTGGGTTTTGAACAAAGATGAAGAATTTAAAAAAGCATTTGAATTAGGAGCAACTGGTGTTATGACAGATTACCCAACAAAATTAAAGTTATTTTTAAAAAATCATGCAATGGATTGAATGGTTACATTTTTAAAGAGTATACACCAAATAACTCAAAATGTTGAGAAAATTCGCAAAATTATTTATGTTTGTAAAGAGATATCTACCACATAATATGTGAAGATATGAGCTATTATATGAAAAAAACAAAGTAGTATATTTTTTATAAGCAAAGCAGAACTATTTGCTTATGTTCTGTATATAAATGCCAATTCGATAAATTTTGTCAGAATTATGACAGCTCATACAAATCGATTCATTAGCAAAATTATATATACAATATATTGCACACACTGTAGTTTACTGTACATTAATCGTGCAAGCGTTCACTCGCGGAATAAGATTGCTCTGGCCTCATAAATCTCTAATTCATTAGTCTTTCTTCATTTTTCTTGTCAAAGCATAATGAGGGTTTCTTTTTGTTTTTATTGAATTATTAATTTATAATAGTCTAATACATTAAGATTCTAATACATTAAGTATTGATAATTATCAGATAATTATAATTATACATTAATCAATATTACCAATTATTTTGCGCACATGAGGAGCATGATTAAATGATAGTCAGTCTGCAAATAATAATTTAATTTAATTGAAAATTTTTTTTATAAATTATAATATAGTTATATATACACTTTTATTTAATTTGCTATTAAAATTTATTTATCAGTAGTTTTAGATTCCATATATTGTATATATGGAATACCTTTATTTATGGGATAGGCATGCTTTGTCTCCTCATAATTGGACAAGTTAATATATTCTAATCTGGTGAGTTTCTTTACCAAAACTTTTTACTTATAATATACCTCCTCTTTCACATTTATAAATATATTGTGAGGAAACAAATTCGCATGTCTTAAAAAAGTCCGCGTGTATGTGCGTGCATATCCCAATTTTTAGTACAAAATACCTATTGATTACTATATCTCTTTGGGGCCAGTATTAGCTTAGCAGCATTCAGAGGCTTGAAATAACAAATAGTCTGATCTGTGGTGCATTTGTTAAATAATTTTTAACATTTTCATGAGGATATATATTTTAAGTGTGAAAAGAAAATCGAGTCATACTAATCGTGATATGTCCTTAGTATGTATGAATATGATATAAGGAATTTACTTTTCGTAAAATGAATGTGATAAAAAGTAGTATCAGTCTTAATAAGAAATCGAAAGCCCTATTATATGTGACTAGAGTTCTATTAAATAAGCAAATTTATGTACACTTACAAATATTGTACTTGAGTATGATACATTTACATTTTATGGTTCACAGTATATAATACCAGTATTAACTTTATATAATTCTAATAATGTATATAGGACATATTTCAGGACTTATTGTTTTTTTTCAATGAATCTGTTCCTGAAGCATGTTCTATGTATGAAATTACATGTATTTGCATACAGGGCATTTTACAGCTAATATAATTGATATAAATTTGTCTATATGGATATCTATATGTTGGATATATATATATACTTTTTTAATCCTTTAAACATAGAACAAACATTACACATTGAACAATTAAAATATGTTAATATATTCAACTGCAGTTTGTTGCACACATTTATAACAAATATGATAATGACACATCTTTTGTAACTTATTATATATATATTATATATAATTTATACACAATTAAACTTCTTTTATAAAAAATCTGTGTGTATATGTGCCATCATATATGTATGCAATATACATATTCAGATAAAAAGAAAATAATCATATATACATAAAGAAATAAGAAGAGAGATTTGAAAGATATCAATATTTATGACTAAAAGATATATATACGTTACATACATATATGTTTAATAGAACAGTCATAGAAGTCCTATAATATGTATTTACTTTTAGTTAATATGTTGGCAATTTTGATTTATTACAATTGTGTTATATTTGAATTTGTATTGAAGATATATAATTAATCTTACAAATCTAAAGCTTTTATGTCCTATGTGATATAATAATAAAGATAGAAAGATATTTACGTTAAATAAACATTTAAATCTTTTGTATAAGTTTTTTTGAAATTTTAATAGTAAAAAAGAAATGCGACTGTATAAATGTTATTGAATCTATAAATTTATGCACGTATATATGTAGGTATCGGAAGAACAAAAATTCCATATGTATTTAAATAAATTATCTATTTTGACTTGATAAATTGTATTTAATACAATGGAAGAAGTTAAATAAGTAATGTACTAAAAAATTTTGTTAAAATTACTTGTTTATATTAAATAATCAAAGTTCTATAATGTGTAATTAAAATGTCGGAAATGTTTTACAATGAATGTTAATTATAGAAAAATAAACTATGTACAAATTCATGTACCTTTGTATTTGAAATCGATTTTTGTGTATTTGTAAATTCAAAGTTTATAAGTTTTCATTCTATAATAAATAAGAATAACTTTTTTTACCTATTAAAGTTACATATAAATATTTACCTATTAAAGTTTTATATAAAATATTTATATTGCTTTGTTAAATATAGATTTTATAAACTAAATCCTCTATAAAAGTTGATATTTAATGAGGTAAGAAAAAATACATTTTTACAAAAATATGACATGTACTTTTGAAATGATAATTTTACATTAAATTTATAAAAATTTAGTTTAAAAATTATATATGTATATGTAATTACATCTCTTAATATTTATTTTTCATTAATTTACTAAAATATGTAATTGTATATACATGTTAATAATTGTTACTATATAAATAATATTTAAATGTGTACAAATGCAGTAAGATGTATATGTACATGTTACATTTTAAGAAACTATTACATAACTTTTTGTTTCTTTAATTGTGTACTTTTTATGTAAAGATGTATTATGGCTATATAAAAAAATTTTCAAATATATCTATGTACATGTATACACAATATATAAAAGATGAATTGTACTTATATCAACATATATCTGAAATTTAAATAATTTTATATAGAATATGTTCAAAATCTTTTGTGACTTATATGAAATACATTTGAGGTACGTAACATACAAAATACATTATATATTATTCTAAAGATGGAAATATATATAAGATATAATATGTAAATCCAACTTATATTTTGTATATAGCGTTATCAAATTAAATCTATTCTAATTTATACAATTCAATTTTTTTTGGAGATTAAGCGTCATTAAAGATTTTGAATATAGATTAATTTCTAAAAACCTATGCACGAGAAGTTACAGAGAGATATTATGAAGATATCAATTGTCTATTTTTCTCTTGTTTACAAACATCTTTATGTTATGCATTTATGAAATATATATGTACGATTTAGGCTGTCAACATTATTATCTTCATTTATCACATTTCGATATCTAAATACTTTGCCTTTGCAATATCTACAACTACTACTTGAGGGATGCGATTTATTTTCATAGTGTTTTTGTATAGAAGTTCCGTTTGACTCAATCTTGCTTTTGCAGTCTTCACAATAAACATAATCCATTGTACGAAATCTTTCGTGAATGGAGTCGGTTTGAGTTCTACAATCCTGATTGTTGATGTTTTCGTTGCTTGACGTATCCTGTTTGGCAGACATTTTGGTTATCTTGCAACTGAAATAAGATTGCTCAAAGTCAATAAAATACGTCTATATATTCCATTTTTTGTAATATTCAAAACTTATCATCCTCAAAATTTATCTTGACAAATTTTTATTTTTAGAAGAGTAATTCTAGCTTTCTCGAACTTATTATAAGAAAGTTTGAAAATATCCGCAAGATTAAATCAAATAACGTATGACGCAATACATTGTTATCACGTGCTACAACACAACATACAGGTATTACTATTGTTTTTTTCACCTTCATATTATGTCAATATATACCTCTTTTTGTGCAGATTGCTTTAGCGAGAAACGAACGTGTATCATGCAGATTATACTTGTATTCACACACGATTCAATCATAATCCTTGAATATGGATGAAAAATTCGTCAAATTCGACCAATCAGATTTCTTGAAATTATTCACGAATCGCGAATAATCTGTCATTAATATTACCGTCTTTCTCAGATAAATATTTTTTCTAGCTAAATTTCTGTCTTTCCTTCTAAATATATGTCTATCTTATTTTATCCCGTTCTAGGTCAGCCATATAAAAAAAAACAAAAACCTAAGAGGTTAGATCAGATTACTGATATATTCACGAATTATTACAATTTAATATCTCGCACAAAATCCATCTCATGTAAATAAATAAAAACAATACAAATACAAATAATGTTACACTTTATTGGAATAGAAAAGAGTCATTACAATAATAATATTTGGATAAAGCGATACAGAGTCGGGGGGTCTAGATGGGCTTGATTTTGAAGTGTAGCCCTATCAGAGAGAACACCAAACATTTGAGATCCTGCACGAGGTAGTAGAAGCAACGCAATCCCTCCGGATCACGTGACTGATTGACATCCAGGAGAGAGCCGGTCTTGGACGTGGTGAAGGATATGTGCTCGTCACCGATGACAATTTCCAACTCCTGCCGACCAACGCGGTCCGGCTGCGGCCACAGCGAGTCGTCCTCTTGCATGATCTCGGAATCCTGGATGATTCGCTTCAGCTCCTCCATCACACACTGGTGCACGTATGCCTCTTTGCGGATCATCGTGTCGTTCTTGTAGTTGGAATTGTTCGCGTAGCGAAGCTTGCCATCGGGCCGGAACTCGAATTCCAAAAACTCGTGCCCAAACTTGCCCTTGTGACCGACGTAATAACGTATGTAAAAGTCCGTCGACATCCTGGTCCTGGTTACGACACAGATCTATTAACAGAGAGAAACCTGAAAACGGCCACCAGCCTCGACGGGCACATTTCTCGATGCTTGACGCGCCGTCTGACAAAGTGGACGTGAACTATGTCCATTACGCTCGGTAACGAAACATGGTTTGTGTCTATGATATGGGTTCATGTCCGAACTATTCACAGATGGACAGTCGGATAAGAATCGATAATTCATCGTTCTGTCTTTGTCTCATCAATGACAGACCACGCGACTGCCACGCGACGAGCTTATGATTTTGCTTTCCTCTTTCTCTCGTCGCGCTTTCACGTTCTTCGTTATGATGTAATAACGAAATGATCTTCACATAATCCTAATTTTTTAAGGGTATTGGCAGACAAGTTTTCCAACTTTGTATGTCCTGTAACAAAAATACAACACATTATGAAAATTACGATTACATGCTTACTTCAAGCTGCCATAGCAATTGGTATACCGAATGTTTGGTAAAAAAAATTTTTTTATGTCAGGCGTGTTGGTTATAATCAATTCGATAAAGTGATACTTCATAATAGCGCGTAGCAGTGCAAGTAAGATGACTGCTTGTCACGGCGCTGACCCGAGTTCGAATCTCTCTGCTGTCGTTTTTTTTCGGATATGAACCATAGCTCGGACATGAACCATAGCTCAGATACCATGTGTATTATTATCGACTATAATGGATGTAGTTGACGTCCACTTTGTCAGGTGGCGCATTAGGACAATGTGCCCGTTAAAGCGAGATGGCCGCTCTCAGGTTTCTCTCTGCTATTAATCTGTGGTTACGATTAGCTTCAAGTATTTCTTAACACGAGAGGTTCGGATTGTCGTTGATGTCTGCCATAAGCAAACATTAGGTCGATTTGTATTATATCGTTCAGTGGGTCTGTTCTTTTTAGCTGCACTGCTGCACTAGTGCAATAAGTTAGAAAGAGAGAGGGAGCTTTCCAGTAACGACGTATCATTCTATCTTCTTTCAATATCAGTAAATAACAAAGATAGAATGATATTCTGTGTCGCTCTGTGTCGTTGCTGGAAAGCTCCCATAAACATACTTTCTTTCACTCTACTAATGCACTAGTACAGTAGTGCAGCTAAAAAGAACAGTCCCAGTGATGTTTCAATCACGCAGCCAACGATTGGCTCGTCCGGACAAACGGCGGTATCCTATTGGCTACGCCATATTGTTGAATCAATTCGTGCATCGCGACGCGATTGGTTGTCATCGTCTTTAAAAATATGGCGCACATAATTTTGTTATCGTTCCTCTTATCTCTTACGTTTCGGTCTTTTCAAGCATTTGACAGGTGTGGAAGATTAAATGTAAGCTTGATAGATAAATGACGAATTACAATTTTTAATTAGTTGATAAGAGTATAGTTCAATTTTTTAAATAATTTATGATGAACGAATATTTTGACACGATCTGACGGTGTTAATCCTATGTAAAGGCATGGGAGGGGAATGAAATTGACGTCATTGTGTCAGTTGACGTAAAGGTGAGTTGTGCACGCTTCTCGTCTACGTGAACATCACCGTGCAGAAAAAAAATGAAATATTCGCATTATAAATTCCTGCGAACGGCATCAATGAACGATGACTCGTCTTCGCGATGTTAGGACGTGTCGTCAAGCTAACAACTGAGCTAGAATGAATTCTCACGCGAGCTCGATCAGCTTTTTACGTTATTCGCGACGTTCGTAGCGACGAGATTCGTCGATTTGATCCTGGCAAACATGAATAAGAGCCACGCGAACAAGAGACTGAACCAGCTGCCGAGTTGGCTGTGGACCAACTCGACTACATTGCCGCCAGTTTACAAGATGGTATGGGAGGCGGTGCGAGACGATCGAGTCAGGTCGAACGGCATGCAAACCGAGTTGCTCGTCGATACCAACAAGGTATTTCCGCTGCTGCTCACCAGCCAGTTGCCCACGGAGGTACTTGGTCACATATGGAGTTTAGCTAACCAGAAGTACGCGGGACAGCTGACCGAGCAAGAGCTGTACGTCGTGCTGGCTCTCGTTGCCGCTGCACAGACTTCTTACACCTTCAACAGTCTTGACATATTGCATTTACTTCCCTTCCCACCGACGCCGTACTTAAACATAGATTGTTTAATGAACCTGCAACCCACTGCACAGATAAACACGCAGAAATTTCAATATTATGCTAACGAGGAGTTCAATGTCAATAGTATAGGTATAGAAGGGAAATATATTCCTGATGTTAAAGGAAAAGCTAAAGTTAGATCTCATGTGAACGCAATGCCTGATGCAAGTATACCTTGTTCGAATAATACATCTGGAAAGTCGTCGTGTTCCGATAGCAAGATTCTAATGTCTGGTGCAACTGCAAATAGTTTCAATAATCTGTTTAAAGATATAAAATCAACTCAGCGTGTTCAAACCGATGTTCCACCTGCATCAGCATCATCCTTTGACGAGTCCTGCGATGAATTTACTGAATTTCAAAGCGCGCCAATTTCTAGCGTTCCTACTGCATCAATTTGGGATAGTAAACAAGGTTCCGCAATTGGCAGCAGACTTGCTAATCATAATCTAGGAGTAAAGAAAACAGTCGACAAAGTTAAGAAAGCCACCACTGGAACGAAAGCTATACATATTAATACTCAAATTCGTACATCTGCACCTGTAAATTTACCATATCAAAATAAGGATCAGTCTGCAATAGAAGCCCCGTTAGATTTATTTTCTAAATGTGGAGTAAAGAATCAGTCAAAAACAGTAATACTTAAAGATACCGTAATCAGAAATAATGATTCGCCTAAGGATTATAATGACAGTTTTAACAATTTGGCAAGCATAATAGAGCCTATATCTCTTAGCAATGATAAGGAGATATTACCTAAAGCAGAGTTAACGCCAAAGGTAAATAAATATACCAATTATATCAATTATATATAATTGTAGCAAATACACACATCATATATTTACATAAGCTGAAAGTTAATATATTTTTGCTGATATACATATATGTAAATTTATCTGTAGGCTGTCACAGTAGATATGTCTAATTCTGTTCAACAAGATTTAATGAGCTTGCAACAAGTCGAAGATAAATACAGTGCATTGCGTGCATTAGTTCAGGAAACGTCTGTTGTGAATGATGCAAGTTTAGATTTAACTGTTAATAATCAATCAGCCGACGAGTTCGGAGAATTTATGTCTGCGGAACAACCCGCTAATCATCCCACAATCATATCAGATGCTTCGGATACTGAAAGCTTTAGCAATGTATTTGCAGATTTTGAGTTTAGTAAAGCACACTCTAATGTTGACAACAATAATTTAACAGATTTAAACTTTATATCTGAAGTATCTGAGTCGTTTAATAATTTAAAACTCGATGACGGGATTGAAGCACAATTGGTAGAGTCAGGTTAGTGCGTTTTCGCAACACATGCTGGAATTTTATTTTTGCTTGCATCTTATTTCTGTTTAAATCAAGTAGTATATTATTCTTAGGAAAGAATGTTCAAAAAGAGGATGCTATTTCGGTAAATAGTGTAGAATTGATTAGTGGTCCATCAGAAGCACTGCCACGATCAGGATCTGTGCCTAGTTTAGATCTTAAATCATTTTTACCTTCAAACATAGAGGAAGATCAAGTTGTAGAAGCTTCACAGCAGGTACACACATAATCGAAATATCAAAAAAATTAAGATGTAGAGATGTTGATTTTATCATATCTTATCAAACATTTCTCTATTACAGACTATTTATTGGGAATGGAAACAATATATGGAAAGTTGTGTTTTATTGCTACAAGTTGCAGCCAATATATTTACTAATATAACATCAGAATTAGTCTTGCAGGAAGTTGTAAATTCAGCTCAAGGATATAATTTTCTCTGCCGTAGGTGTTCTTTGAATATTGTATATATGTATAAAATATTGCATATTATATCAAAACATTTTCATAATTAAATATATTCATATTGGCTTTAAAATATATCATTGACTGTTCAGAATTGAGAACGTTACTTCAAAAAAGTAATGCGTTACCATTATCGTTAATTTTCGTGAAAAGTAACTCGTTACCGTTAAGAAAGTAACAATTCGTTACTTTTTATAACACAAAAATTAAATTAATTTATTTTAAAATATAATTATTTTATAGTATTTATTATAATTGATTTTAAAATATAATTATTACTTTTATATATTCGACAATTATAAATTATTCCATCATTGATGTTCTTTATATTCAATTTTTCATTTATTGTAATTTAGAAATTTTAGATTTATAAATACAGAGAAAAACATCATGCATGTATATAATTTTCCAAAATATTTGTAAACTGTAATAGGAATAGATTTTTCAATTACTAAAGGGATATTATCCAGGATTACAGAATTAAAGTAACGATAAGAGTAATGGTTAAATTCGTTACCGTTACAGACAGAAGAAAGTAACAATCGTTACCGAAAAAAAAGTAACGGTAAACGGTAACGGTAACGACGTTACAAGTAACGCGTTATTTCCCAACTTTGCTGTTCATATATACGTACACAAGACATATAACTTATAAAATGTCTTTTGTTTCTAGAATTAGCTGAAGTTGCAGCTGTTTGTAGACGTGTTAATTTTTCATACAAGGAATTGGACATAAATATTATTGGATTTGATGATCTTTTAATGGATATTGATCGGATCTGGGCTGAAATGGAACCTTTTTACGCTAATATACCCGTAAGCATTGATTATATGAATGTTAATGTTTTGCCTATATATATATGTTTTTAAATACCTACATCCATCTTTATGCAAGGATTCTATTGTTATAGAATATGCATTTGTACCAATATTTACAGATTGTTACTGAGCTACCAGCTTGGCCATTACATCAGGGAGAATGTGTGTCTTGTTCTCTATGTTTAACAGTTATTACGAGTGGTCGAGTTGTTTATAATGATAATAATTATCATGTAACATGCGCGAATTTGTGGCTTAATTGCGTAAACAATCAATTGCCGGTAATGCGATATTCTTTACTTTATCAACCAAATATATGTCCAGGAAGTCACATTTAAATGCTACTCTGCATTGCAATGTTTTCTAATTTATAGACTAAGAATATGCATTTTACATACATATCTTATTAATAGAATTCATAAATTTATCTAATATTGAGAAAAATTTCTATATAAAAGTAGAGCTCTGATAAAATTTTCATTAACTAATAAAATTAAATCACCTACATGTACATAAGTAAACAGAATGCAATTTTACACATATTTATGCCATTTATTTATTTAGTTCTTATATTTTCTAAAAATTCTTATAACGTATAATCATATACAAAAATGTAGAAATATATTTATATTTATATATTTAAATATACAAATATTTATATTTATTTTAGTGTGATTAATAACGTGATTATATTTTAATGTGATTAATAACGTGATTATATTTTAAACAATGATGTGGTTTTAATACAGTATTTTAAATTTAAAAAATTTTAATTTACAAATTTATTTTACATATAAAAAAATTGTAATTATTCTTATAATAATTAACGTTGACTTGTATCGCGCGGCCTATACACTATTCCTCTGCTTTTCATTTCTCTAATGACACCAGCTGGTAACCGTCCTGATACTGATATAGCATAAACACCCTTACAGAAACGATCTGAAACAAACAGAATCTCTAATAACATTGGCCATAATTGCAATAATTAAACAGGAAATTGTAATTCCTAAAAAGAGATCGCACATTATTCTATTTAAATACACTTTAAAAAAGTTATATATACAGATATGTTCCTTGATAAATATCAACATTTTTAAGTAAGAATAATATATGTGCATATATATATATATATATAAATGTATTATACGTAAATGTATTATACGTTTAAAATTGAAAAATTTCAGAAATAAATATATTTATTATAATATCTAAAAATATATATATTATATATATATAATCTGTAAACATGTTACAAATGAGATTTGTGTACATATATGTCGATGATTCTTTATATTGCTTATAACTTTAAAATAAATCTTTTGAAAAGATACTTCAAATATAAAATAAGAAATGATACAATTATAATTAATATGATAAATATAGAAAATGTTAGTTAAACGTTCTTAAATAGTATCATCATATTTTCAAATTACTCACTTATTCTTTGCCATTTGCACACCCAACTATCTTCTGGACTCATTGCAGCAATCATTCTAGAGAAAATAAGCATAGAGTATATAAATTGTGATGAGATTCTGTCTTTGACAATAGAATTATTTATTAAACTGTAACATTAATTTGTACATTATAATATAATAATAATATATTAGTTTCTTGATATATATATATATATATATATATATATATATATATATATTGTTTTTTTTTGATAATTTTTCCATATTCTTTACAAATATAGGAAATTTATGCTGATATTAAATGCTTACGGAAATATACTATTGTATATATTAAAAAAGTTATTCTTAAAAGTTATTCGTAATTGTATATGTGTTATCGCATTACCCATCAAAGTTGGAACTCGTACAATCAAAAACATTATCCTTATTATTCTTCATGCGCAGAAATTCATCGCAATTGTCACATCCATCAAACTCAAATTGTTCGAAAGTCTGCAAGGCCAAATTACAAATGCAATTATTTCAAAAATATAAATAAACTTTGTGTACACATAAAGAATTAATTATTGAATGAAACTTAGAATTTTTAAGGAAAGACATACCTTAACCAAGGAGCATACCAAACATGCTCTTAATCCACGCAAATCTTTCGGCACAGTCTCCATGGACACTTATTTTTTATAACAAATAACAAATAATTTTATTATTTTGACTATAAACTTGAAGGTTAGAATTATAGGTCTTTCCCGTATTGATGCGGTAATGTGACAGGAAATGACGTATAGCCAATCGTCTCCCGTTACGTTTTATCATTTCCGGAAAAACATGAAGCTGATTGGCCATCGTGAAGAATTCCTTTTCCTTTGACGCGTTCCGTTTGACACTACAAAATAATTTCGAAGCATTCGATTGACCAATCAAAGTTGTTGCTCTCAGAGATGCTTTTTCTCGCGCATGCGCATTGAATGTGGCTTCATCAGTCAAACGGAATATATCGATACACTGCAAGTATCGGAAAATTATTTGTATTATTATTTATTTATTTATACATAATATATTGCCAATGTTAGAACGTAGTGTTTTTACATATATAAAAATAAATAAGGTATGATTGTGTATTTTTATTTTCTAAATTTCTGCATTTTATTTTCTGAATTTTTGCGTCATAAATATACATTAATATATTAAGAACATATAAATTAGAAGTAAATATTACAAAATAATAAGGCAATTATTTATAAATTTATAACAATGTTACAATATTAGTTTTATTGTTAAAGAAATTCATCACAGAGAGTTTTGTTATATCCGTTAAATTCAAACTTTTCAGAGATCTGTGCAAAGTGAGCATGATTATTTTGAACCATTTCTAATATATTTATATAACCTTGTTAGAGAGTTTTAATTATTGTCGTATGCGGCAAAATGAAAGGAATATTTATTTTATATCCTATCTATTTACACACTTTGCTTTTTTTAGGATAACTGCTGTAATGAATCCTTTAAGATGAGTGCAGGTGCGAAAAATAAGTAAGTAATATTCCAGATATAATTATATATTTAAGGCAATTACATACGAAACAAGCAGACGATTTCTATCAATCATGTTATCATCGTTTCCACAAAAAACACACGTTTATAACGCAGATAATTTATATATTAATCTATACTCATACAGCATAGAACATTGCAGCAATATTGCAATATTGCTGCAATGTTCTGTGCTGTATGGGTAATATACTGATAAGAGAAGTATTATTAAATATTAATTAAATTTATTACTATTGCTTACATTTTTTGTTTGCTGGAAAAATGCTAAAAATAATTACTATAATTTTAAGAGTTGTACTCTACATAAAATAATAAGCAAGAATCGATATGATTAATCACATTATTGAGGCAATATTATTTTACTTTAATTAATGAATAATTTTCTTAATATTCTCGTTTAAAAAAATATATCAATATATCATAAAGGATAAAAAATAACAAGAAGAGATCCTTCTCATATCACATATTTATTTAAGAAATCTCTTTGGTACTCTGTCAAGATATTTTTATTAGTTTTTAATAATATCGACGCTAACGTCACTTGGCAGCGATTGACAGTGTTTCGCTTACACATAAATATCAGCGTGTATTTTCGCGGAAATCATTAGCTGCTGCATAGCTAACATTGGTAAAAAGTTGTTACGCGTTAGTAAGGCTGTGCCAAGAAAATATGCGAAAATATGAAAATATAAGACGCGTACAACTGCATAGCTACTCGAGCAGTCGCGAAATTGATTCATCATTATTATATTATTATTATTGGAAGACATTGTCTTTGAATCTGAAATTCTACGCTTTCTACCTTAGATTTGACTTGCACATGATCGCGCAAGAACATCAATTTTATCGTATAAAAGAAAGATAATTTTCTTTTCAAACCACATGTGCGCGAATTAAATGGATAATATTATTCTATAAAAATAGCGGTCACATGTTCTATCTTGGTATTAAATGGAATTGTGCTGCGTTGCTGTTGCTGCGTTTTTAATGTTAATCCTCATCTTTAAAGCGACGATAGATGGACTGAACGTATGTGAAGACGCACTTCCAATCCGGTCGTTGCATCATCACCATATCTTCGACGTCAAGTAATGGCGCGATTCCAGCAATTTCGCTGCGGAAAAGAAAGACAAAGGTTTTTGTCAAATAATAAAAAACATTGCTTAATTAATAATCAATCAAATTCTCGAGAGAAAAACGGTGGCGTCGAAAATCGAAGAAAAATTTGGAGTCATTTCTTACTCGGCCTTTGTGAAAGCAAGTTCAAAGTTTTTCCTGCGATTCTCCGGACGCAGAGAATTGTAATCGAAAGCATCCGGTTTAAAGTGATGAATTAACGCGCAGAATGCTAAACCGTTATTCCAGCTTGTCGAAAAGTTATCGAGTTGCACATTCTGAAACAGAGAAAAGAAATTGGATAAATATATATAATTCAGTAATACATTAATTTCGGTACATTAATTTCTCTTAATACATAGGATGTTATAGAAAATATCTGTATGTCGAGTCAATAAATATCTTACTTAAAATAAAGCATCAGATGTGTATATTCACCTCGTATTCTTTGGTTTTCGATCGACACCACGCCAACAATCGCTCTTTAATTTGCGCAGCATTGTCTCGTACAGTTGGTTCGGTAAATTTGAATCGAAATTCCGTCGCCGGTGATTTTATAGGACTAAATGAAAGAACGATAAGATGAGAAAAATATAAATTAAGAAAAATATAAATAAAATTAGAAAATTAGTCGTTTTTTCCAAATTGCTTCACCAACATTCGTTTTCTTACATATGATAACATCTGTCATATTGAATCATTCGCGTAATTATTATTATTAATTATTATTATATATTATTATATATTATTTATACTATTTATTCTTACCTTGGTGATAAAGAGGCGCTATTTTGTCTATCGAGCTGACGAAACTTGGCGAACGGCGACAGTGGCTTTTTCGGGACTGAAAAATGAATGAACACATTGTAAAGTTACATCGAGGAGCTTTGAGAGCGTACGATATGTTAGATTTGTATCATACGAGATGCATACTAAAATTTGATCGAGATGTTAATCTCTATATCTTTCTATTTTAATTTGTCTATAATTGAATTCTGATACACTTCAAAGGCACAAGTGTAAATTATTAAAAAAAACTGGATCTAGCAAAATCTTTTATTTCTCACTCTCGTAGCATGCCTGCAACGCGCGCGCGACATGCGTTAGTTGTCTTGCAAACAAATTAAATAATAGTTTAGTAAAAAAAAACAGGTTTGATAATCGTAAAGAATGTATACATGTGTATGTTTACATGTATAAATATCAATTTTCCAAGTATTTCTTAGTAACTTTGACCGATAACAAGAAAGTGACCCAAATCCATGGAAAAGAAAATTATTTTTTTTGAGCATCAGATTAAAAAAATAAGTAAGAAAATCGATCATCGATATCGGTTGTTCACTATGCACGAGTAGGTAGGTACTCATGCGCGTATACACACGCACACACAACGCACTTGTACCCACGGGGTGTGATGGCAAGTAGATTTACTAGTAAAATTTTGCGTTTATAGGAATTTGAGTTTTGCTATTTTTTGTAATTCTGTTTTGAGAATTTTTTGATATGTTTATTGGTAAATATGTTTGGTAATTTAATTTTGTAAAGTGATAGTTATTCAAAATCATATCATTATTCATTGTAAAATAAAGATAGTTAAATATAAAGATTCTTACTTTCTAATTGATTTTCAAGTTTCAATTATATGTTTCGTTTAAATTATCAGAATAGCAGCTCTTCAAAATATCAAAGTTAAATAAATTTACCCCTCTTTGTGTGCGTAGAAATCGGTGATTTTGTTTACACGAATATATATAGTAAGATTGCCTCTAAGTCAATATCAAGAGTCTTCTGTAAAAAACCTCCATTCAAGGACTTCATTTAAATGTAATATATTATTATAACGAAATATATACACGGTTGTAATATTGTTCAATATTAAATTATATAATTTAAGATAATATATTCATTATCTTAAACTGTATTATTTGCTAAAGAGAGTATCTCACAAAAATTTTAAATTATACTATTAGAACTCATAATGTGTGTTGTACGTGTGAAGATAAATATGTTTCCAATGTAACATCGCGTGTCGTAAAGTACATTGTGTGCAGGTAGTGAAGAATCGGTATATCCGGCTTTCACCTTCGAGTATCGAGGAACATTTCCATGAGATTCAGCGTTAATTGGATCCACCACAGCCATCGCTATGCTTCGCTATGTACGAACTCTCAGCACGTACACTACGATAATATATCACTCTTGCACACACTCTATACACAGCAGTGCAAACTGTACGCTACTGCGTAATAAAGGATCAACAAAAATAAGGGCTGTGACTCACTGCTTTATTCGGGGATTGGCATGGATCCTGTAGCGACTCTCAAAGTCCGTCCGCGGGACATGCGCGTCGCGAGTTTTTGAGTTTAAAAAAAAAAATATTTAAAAAATGAGGCACACGTGTCGGCGACGTCACGCGCGTCATTATTAATTATATGTAGATTTTATGTGCCTCCCGTAAATGTATAATGCGCATCAAGCGGGATAACGGTAGAATCGATGCGTTGCGATGCTCTCTCTTTATCTCTCTCTTTATTTTTCGCTAGTTGAAAGAAGATTGTACAACAGCTTCGTACTTGACGCGCTGATCTTTTCATACGTGTCAGACGATCTGGTCGAGAAAAACGAAGGAGATGACGGGATATCGGCGTATGATGATGGTCGTTGCATCGATCTGCACTACCGTCTCTCGTAATGGACGAAGACCATGTTTTTATGAGCATCGATTCCGCACGAAATATGCTTCTTCTTCGTGGATAACTTGCTACGTAGCTTTGCATCACGAAACACATTTCTATTCTTCGAAAAAGGCGGCTTCTAATCTGTGTTAGATCCTTCCATCATCTCGTGATATTGTAAGATCGTTCGAAGAGAGAGCTTCGGTTTCAAATGTCAGATGTAGAGTGATTTCCGCGAAAATAGAGAATTATGTACAGCCAATTAGACCGTAGATCTCGGTCTCATTAAGCTCATATAGTCGCGCATTAACATAACTGTGCTCCTTCAGCTTCTTTTTCTTTTTCTCCAATCATCTTCTTTTTCTACAATTAACTATCGAAAACGATTTAATTATGAATTCTAATCAAACATGTGGCATTTTACATAAAATGCATTCAGATGATACTGAATTTATTTTTAGAAATAAATACTTTACTCTCATTAAATAATTTGATCGAAGAAAACTCACGAAAGGAAACAGAAATCTCTAGTTAAATCATCATTAATTTTAAATCTCTTAACATTTATGAAAACAGACTTCGCTTTCAGAAGAAAACGAGCAATGAATGACAATATAAATTTCTAATATAAACAGTTGAATAGAATTAACTGACAAGCGACAATACGTCGTCTAAAATTACAGTAATCAATTCGATAAAATCACAGTGTTTAGCGATCCACGTCGTTGTATAATGAGCGAGATTAACGGCGATCGTACGTAGTATCATCTATGTCCAGCGCAGTCAAATTTGCACCTTTTTAAAGTCCCGGACGGACGTCACTTTCGTCGCAATCAGTCTCTCACGAAACGCGAAAGGTTTACGACACGGACGAAAAAAGATGACCGATCAGAAGCGATGATCGTCGTTTTTGGTAGCCTCCTCGAAGATGTCATCGAACACCTTGTCCACTTCGGCGCTGTTGAGATTCATCATGGGAATCTGTGGCGCCGGAATCAGCAGGCGCAGACTCCCCTCGGATATTCCTGGCATGGTGCGACTCCTGGACAGAGCGATCGGACCCTTCGCCGTCGACATGTCGCGCGAAGAGAACCGTCTATTCTTCGAGTCTCTCATCTCCGCGGCGCTGTCGTTCGTAGACGGATTGTCGAAGTACCTGCGAATCTTGTCCTCCATTCTCTTCACGTTGATCGAGGACGAGGACGCCTCGTACTGCTTCTTCATCTTGAAGGACGACGGCGACTTTGGTTTCGTCGGCGGTTTCGGGAGGTAAGACGCGCCTCGATTAAGAGATTGCGGTGAATTGTCGATTTGCGACGGACGCAATGAGGTATGATGGCCTTTGGAAAGTGCCAGCTGATGCCACGATTCGGACTTGGACAGGACGATGGATCTAGACGGTTTATTGGCGCAGGACACCAAGTACTCGTCACTCGGGTCCATCACGCCGTTCGAAATCGGTGAGCGTTCCTTTCGCTCTATCTCCGGTTTCGATAGCTCATATTGTCCTCTGAGAGCGGTGACTCGATTCGTCGCTCCGAGCGCCGAGGACGACGGCACCACCGGCAATAAACCACCGGTGACAACCGGTGGATATTTCTTCGGTGGTTCCGACCTCTTCTGTAGTTCCGGTTTTTTCGGTAATTCCGGCTTCTTCGGCGATTCCAATCTTTTCGGCGGTTCCAATCGTTTCGGTGGCTCCAATCGTTTCGGTGGTTCCAATCTTTTCGGCGATTCCATTCTTCTCGGCAGGTCCAATCTTCTCGGCTGTTCCAATCTTTTCGGCACTTCGGGCGGAAGACATTTCGGAGGTTGATTAAAACTGTTCAGAAGCGGATTAAAGTCGTCGGGTTGATTGAAGTTTCCGGGCTGATTAGCGATGGATGCGTGATAATCGTTTAACGTCACGCGCTCGTTTTGTAGTCGACGGACCAGGCTTTGTTGCAGCATGTTATGTCGGCGTATCTCATCCTCGGTCGTGACGCTCTCGTTGCTGGTCGGATGCGACCAGAGTTGCAAGGGCGACGTGCCAAGTTCCGGTTCGGATATCCGCTCTGGAGTATCCGTGGATGCGACGGTCGCGATCGCGCAGGTATATCGCGTGACAACGCCAGTGTCTACGCTGATGTCCTGATTTTGGATATTCTGTTCCTCCGGCAAAACGCTGCCATTATACGAAGAATCTTCCTCGAGGATTCCGCACGTCACGTTTGATTGATTCTGATTCTCTTGGAACGGATCCTGAGATTTAAGATAATTCGGAGAATAATTCTGATGTATCTGCGATCGATTATCGATCTCTGGTTTAGGCGAGAAATAATCTTCCTGCTGTGGATTCGCGCGACAGATTCGCTCGCGTTGTTCTGGCGATTGATAGCCAAGAGAAATCTCCGGAAGGGGAAGGTTCTCCATCGAGTTTGGCTCACGAATGGCGTCTTCCTCAAGATTGCACGCGTTCTCGTTTGTAAACGGCACAGTTTCATCTCTCGGAGCGTCGTCGGTTGTTACGATATGATAATTTCGATTGTGGTCCAGGACAAAATGCTTCGGATCCTCAGCGGGACAATAATTTGAATCCAATGTCGCGTCATCGTGTCGAGGCGTTGTCCACTGTTCCTTGGATTCCACTTCCGGCTCGTTGTAAGTCTGGACGGACACGTTGTTGTACGTGGACGGTGGACCCATTGAGATTCTAGGGATCATCCGAAACACGTGCGCCTCTTCTGGATGACGATCGTGAACGCCTGTTTGGATAGCTACAGACGAACTACCCCTTAGCGTTGTATCAACCGGCGCATTTCCAGCAAATGCACTTCCGGACGAGTCTTTATTGCTCATCGCGATTGGTTCGAAAGTATCCTTCTCGCTACAGTGGTCGAACTTGTTTCGATCTGTTTGTTCCTCGATGCGAGGCTCGTTCGGACGATACTGCGAATCTCCCTCAGGAAACACCCTAAAGGAAAGTTTGCCGTTCACTGTACCTTTCTCCTTCGACGGTGCGACATGTTCATTACGCTTGTAAAGGGGTTCTTCATTGTTCATTGATTTCTTAGATTCCGGATTTCCGATGTTCTTACCGACGAATGGCGCAAACTGCTTGCAGAATAGTCGATAATCGATCCGTCCATTCTCGGTAACCATGTTGTTTGACTTGTTCTCGATGTGCCTGTCCTGCTCGAGCCATGGTGGTCGCGGGAAGGAAGGTTTCTGAGAGTCTTCATTCGAGTTGAACCTCGCTGGATGCTGCGACTGACGAACGTCATTGTTCCGATCGAACATAATCCTGGCTTTTTCGCGTAAGGTATTCCCAGGTGGCGCATTATTCCTCTGATAGTGATAGCTGGGCGGAGACTTTGGCCTCTGCGTCTTCTCGATTTTCCGAAATAGCGACGAGGGCGCGTGTTTGAAGCCCGCGTCCAGCTTCGACGCGTTTGCAAACGGGAAACCGTTGCTCGCTTTGTCGCTGATCGGTGCCTTCTTGCTCGTCGTTTGGGAAGGAATCGGGAAGCGTTTCGCGAGTTGCGGTTTAGGGGACAGTTTATTTTCCGCCTCGTTTATGGCAGACGGTTTATCGAAAGCAGTCTTGATGTTCGAGAACCGGCTGTTCCAGTTCTCGTTCGTCAACGACGCCATATCTGTCGCTTTGGTGTACCCGAAGGACTTGAGGAAGCCGGGCGCAGCGTTGTACGTCTGCGGCTCGTTGTTCCGGTTGATCAGCGCGAGGAACTTTTTATCGTTCTCCGTTTTGGGGTGGAACGACGGCACGGCAAGATTGGGCGCGTTCGCGGTGATCTTGTCGCCTACGTTGATGGGACGTCGTAAGAAAACGCAGCCGGGCTTGTCGAGGTTCTCAGTCTGCAGCTTCAGATAGCTTGGTATGTCGACGGTGTTGGCGCGCTTGATTTTCGATTTCTTCGTCGTAAATTTGTTATTATTATTGCACTTACTCGCGCTGATCAATTCCGCGCGTTGCCGAAGTGCCGCCGCGAGTTTCGTTACTCGACTCTGCTCTTCGTTCGCCTTCCTGATTGCAGTTTCCTCGTCGTCACTGTCTTTTTCTTGATAACTATCTACGCTGCCCCGACGTTGGGGCTGATGCCTATCACCATTCACGGTGTCCGGTCGATCCGCGTAAGCGATCTGCGACGGAATTAACGAGCGATAGGCACTGGTATCTTCGCGAGAATCCTTGTTCTTATCACGCAACGACTGACGCTGATTGATCACGTCCTTCGTGTACTTGTCGTGGATCTCTTCCACATGTCTATCGTTACTCGTCGCGTTACGCGACGCGGGCAGCAACGGTTCCCATCGTCGAGCCGATACCTGGTCGTTCAGCCTCACCAGGTCGGCGCTGCTCTCTTCCAGCTGCTTCCTTGCGTGTGCGATTTCTTCGGCGGAGACGCCGATGGTGTGCCTGACAGGACGTCTTTTTCGTCCGGGCGACGCGATGATGAAGTCACCCTGCGTCCCTATTGTCCTGCCGTTCTCACCGCTATCCGTTTCTTCTTTTTCCTCCGGCACCTGCAATCGCGACAGCAGACTGGAGACCAGTCTCAGGAGATGAAGTTTGCTCGTAGGATCTGACACTCCGCCGTGCTTGGCGAGCGTCGCAACGTCCGTGCGTTCTAGAGTCTCGCGCAAACGCGAGAGCGCGGTCTGAATGTCCGACAACAGCAGATCCTCCAGGAACTTGAGCTCGTCCTTCTTCGGCTCGGGATCGTCCTCCTGGCCGTCGAGCAACGCCTGTTCCAAGGAACGGCGCGCGCGAACGCGATCGGGACCGCTGCCCTCGGATTCGGCGAGTTCGCCACTGCCTCGTCGGCAACCCGTCACCAGGGATAGCTCGATCGCCTCGCGTAGACGTTCTACCAGTACCGGCAATGAATTCCACTCACCGACTGCTACGCCGGGACCGCCGACGCGACGATACTGCTGTCCGCTGCTACCGTCGGCGATGGTCGCCGATGGTATCCCAACCCTCGTCTCGTCCGGTCCCGTCTGTCCCGTGATCACCCCCGGACTTGGCACGCCGTCGTCCGACGACGCGCTTCTCGTGACGGCCGCCAGTTCTGAAGAAGAGCAAACCGAACGATGGTTCAGAATTATATCAAAATCTTATATAATTTTATCTTATATATGTATAAATTAAAATATATCTAATCTTTAAACATTGTTTATCGAGGACTACTTGATTTGATAGAATTTTCACTCTAAATTATTATAATCTTCTATTGCACGTTTTGTCTTTTAAATTGATGAGATCTTCGCTCATTAGAAGTAATTATAAATTTATTAATGAAATAATTATAAATTTATAAATTTATTAAATTTCAGAAATTCAATAAGTTTCTTTATAACTTCTTAATAACTTTTAAGTTATATATAAAGTTTATATATTATCAAATTATTATAATGTGTATTAAACTAATGAAAAGATGAAGAGATTATTGATTTCAAATAAGATAAAGTGAAATAACAATATTATAATATAAATGTTTAATAAATTAGTTTAATTTTGTTTAATTAATTATTTTTTGTATAGATATAAAATTGCATGTAAAGTTAAAAAATATTTGCAGCTAATAAATAAGTAACATTTTACAGCATTGAAATAAATTATATTTCTATATGATTGAGTAAGCATACCTACTATTATGTTTTCTGACTAAATGGAGAAAATATATCAACGGCAAAATATTACTTTGATATCAGAAGAAAACTCACTGCTTCTCTGCCAAAACGATCGCTATTTTTAATTCACGATTGAAAAGTCCGAGTATAAATTTTGACAAGTGGTGCTTCTTTCTCTCGCAAAGAAACTGAAATATACATTCAATTACTCGTGTCTATTGTTTGCTCACATTCGACGAAAGACATTTGTCTCTTTTAAAAATTTTCCAAACATTTAATATTTATTTAAAAGCACCTTTTTCCCTTTACTTGTCACTTGCTTTACACTCGGATTATTGCATCGCACTGAGAAAAATATCGCGTGATTGAAAAAAATGTGTGGAAATAGCGCTTACTTTACGAGATAAATAATATCAAAATAGCAAAATTTTGCGATATCCGGATAATTAAAAGTAGCACTACTTCCCTATCAAAACTTTAAGCTTTAATTCAAGATAGAGGCGCTCTATAAATCTCGCCGATAAAAGCGACTACAAATCTCTTTGACAAGTGGTATTTTTTCCAAAACGATCGGAATAAAAAAAAATCAAATCACGACGCATAATTTTCGCACATTAGCACCGTGCCTTTCGGCTCGTTTCGCACTCGCTTATCGTCGCCCGGGGAGAAACGCGCGTTCTCCAAACGTGCGCTTCGCACGTTCGACCAACTCGGACTATCTCTCTCCCGCACGTCAACGTGTCGCGCGTTTTAAGACACGCGCGAAGAGATGCGCGGGACGCGGAAAGAGCGGTTTGTTAGAAGCATTGTAAAACAACCGGTTTCCGCTCGTCGCGAATCCGCGACGCTTCGCGCGCGCGAGCTTCGACGCAACTCTTGTCGCGGCCGTCTTGATCCTCCTCCTTCTCGGGGGATGCGCGAAGAGACTCTCGAGGCGCTCGAGGGAGAGAGCGGTGAGCTCGATGAGCGGATCGCTATTCGGCGCAGACACAGTGGAACACACGGTATTTTTACCGCCGTTTTCGTGCCGCTGCGCGACTTTTTCGCAGCTCGCCGAGCGGAAGAGAAAGAGGAAGAGAAAGAGGTAGAGCGCGGCCGCGCGAGGAGACGAGGGGCGCGAGAGCTGACCGGCTTCGGAGGCTTCACGCACGCTCGCTTTATTTAAAACAACGCACGGGGATCCTCTCCGCGGGGATTTATTTTCGGTCGCTCGTTCGACGCCTGCCGCAGCTGCTCGCGAAGCGAAGCGAGGCGAGGCGAGGCGAGGAGCGGCCGCGAAACTACCCGCGTGCACAAAGCGAGTCTGCCGAAAATTGCACGCGCGTTTCTTTATCTCAGCGCGCGGTTTACGCGAGCGCGAACCGTTTCTTACAATAGCTTTATTATGTATAAGCGAGCACCGCCAGCTGTCATTAATTATATCGAGATGCAACTTCATATTTTCATTTCCTCCTCACTTTTATTTTTGGAAATGAAAGCGTACTATGATAATAATAAGAATAACGGTAATAAAGCGAGGTAGCAAAGTTAGGAGGAAAAATCCAAGAGTAATGATGACTGATTTTTCCTTTGCTCATATTAATAGTTGAAAGCGAAATCATACATTTGTATGAATGCTGATTAAAAATAGAGCGTATAAAACAAATAGAATCACAAGATGCGCTATGCTATATAACGATAGATGAACGCGCACAGATACATAACATTGGTCGCACCCCAATTGCCGTGTCCTACATAGCTATCGCTCCCATTCCTCTTTCCGGATGAAAAAATTTACACAGCATACCTTTCTCTTTGTAGATTATATGTAATTAATGATAATTAAAAATAACATTTTCTTTTACTTTTATAAGAGAATCAATAACGTGCTTATGCATATTTCGCGAATAATATGCGTTTTGCGCTTATCTAAAGGAATTTGCATTGATTCATTCAAGTGTAAAGATGATATTAAATGTTCCATTTTATATATTCTAAACTTATATTTCAATCTACAATGCTTTTATTTTTATTGTCTCTGTTTTAATTTTACTGCTTTCTCTTTCTCTATTTTGCTCTGCTAGTTTTTTTCATCTCGTTCATTGTCTCAGTCTATGATTATTATCTATTTCTTTGTTTCTGTAATATTCTAATTTTAATTGTTTTTGTGACATGTCTTGATTTCATATTACATGAATTTATATCAAACATTTTGATTGTATAATATCAGATAATCGTGTAATTATACTTCATCTGTTAATGACAGATTCTTGAGATCATTTAGAGATGATTTTTCCTCCGAAAATATCAAGACATCAATAATTATAAGCGATTTAAAAAAGAATTTTTTGTAAACCAAACTTTATGAAGAGTTCAAAGATTTCCAAAACTACAAGATTATTAAAACTTGTCTTCAATTAATTTTAGATAAAGTTTACTTTAATAAAATTTTAATTCGTAAGAAGTAATTAAACAAAGATATATAACGCGTATGCAAAAATTGAAAAGAATGAAAAAAATTGATGACCTTCCTCGACCTTTATCGTTGGAGGAAAATCGTTGGAGGAAAATCTCTAAATGATTTCAAGAATCTGTCAGTAGCAGGTGGTGCGGCGACCCTGGGACATCCTGTATATCGCTATGAGAGCGTGAGATTTGTAAATAACGCGGGAACTTCTGTGTGTATCGCGACCGAAATAGTTCGCGTAAGAAGGTTTAGATTTCCTTGAAACATGCCGCGCAGATCGTTGTATATTCGCACCAAACTATCCCGCTGACGTCGCTATTCAAATAAACGCCGCGAACGTCTATGCGAATAATGGCAGCGCTAACGCAAACACGTCGACGACTTGGTGAGCAACGACGATTGGTTCCGACAAGCGGGAGAGTAAACGCTGTAAATTTGCGCGCAACTTATTTAAGAGAATTTCTATTCCGGAACCGCGAGATGTTCTAGAAACGCCAATCTTAGATCATCGGCAGATCTTCTAACTTTGGATTCGATAAATGCGAAATTAATTTTACCTCGATTGTGTATTTTGTCGAATTGGAACTAAAGAGCTTTAGACCGTTAGAATTAGATTTTCTCGAAGCGCAATTAAATGGCGAAATTTTATTATTTATTTAATATCAAACAGGCACGTGCTTTATCTACTCTTTGCTTTTTAACTCCAAATTTTATTTTTGCCGAATTTAATTCTTCCAGCATAATATTTCTAGACAGGAGATATTAAAACGTGATGGCATCAGACCAAGTTTTTAAATTTTTAGAAATTAGAGTTTTTTGTCTGCTATTTTAGTAACGTAATTTTGCTATGCTATCGTTTCTTCAAATATTACAAATATAAGCATCGTACTAACCTGAGTCTGACGTTTCTTCTTTTTGCAACTCTTCGCTACTCGATGCCTCTGTTTCTACTTCCTCCTTAATTTCTTCTTGTGCTTGTTCTTCCTCTTTAATTTCCTCCTTGACTTCCTCTTGTTTTGTTTCCGTAATTTCCTCTTGTTCTATTTCTGTAATTTCCTCTCGCTGTTCTTTTTCGGATTCTTTAGTAGACGATCTTTCCAATAATTCTGGACTATCAGATTCTTCTGTTAAACTTGTTATCTCGTTGCTGACTTCCTCTGTTTTCGCTGTCTCTTCCTGAGTATCATCCTGAGTATCATCTTGTTCCGACGCGTTCTGCATATCTGCAAAAGCAAAATGATTAAAAATGACAATCCTCTAACGCAAGTACTTCGAACTGAACATACGTTAATGGAAAAGAGATGAGAAGCAATCATTTTCGTAGTAAAAATGGACATTTTTTTTTTGTTTCGATGAGTGAATGCGACGATGCTTGAAAGATTATACAGCCTTTGATATGTTAGTTGTCAAACTTTATGAATCAGAATAGAATGCTTAATGTTGCCTGTCTGAGACAGCAGGTTAATGTTTTCGTGTCACTATGATTTTTGTGTAAATATACCGTGAAAAACCAAAAACTTTCACAAAATAGCTAAAGATGTGGCGATCTGTTATTACGTTTTATGAGCATTTTAATTTGGCTTCTAACACCTCGTATTCTGTGAATCGAAGAAAAAGACTTGAAAAAGCGATGAGATAAGAATGTGCTTTGAATTGGCGTTTTTAAAATTTCAATTCCTGTCGAGAAGAAAAGAACACAAGTGATGCTTATTATTTCTGGCCGTGTTGCAGAGCTGCATAAAGATCGATGACGTAGCGGCGAACGCTTCTTGTTATTAAACAGTGCAGCGACGAATACAAACGGCGTTACATCGCGGAAATGCGATGAGATGTAAACTGTTTGCACCCCAGCGGAGGCAGTAGACAGAAGTACGTTTTGAGAGTGCTGTCGTCCAGAATCTTTGGTTAATAACGCTCTACATTCCGTTACACATCATACGATTCATCATACTAAACATTACATTTTTGCGCGCATACGCTGAATTACACTCGTTCCCTTGATTTCTTCTGATACTCGTTTATCTATCTACGATGATACTCAAGTAATACGGTCGTGATGAAGCTCGTAAAGGGGTCCTCACCTTCTATTCCCGACATTTTGGCCGCTTGACTGGACGCCTGCAAAAATAAATATTATATTTGTAATTTTCTCTTGTAAAAATAATTTTTATTGAATTTTTTTAGAACATACAAAAGAAGACATAAAAGATTGTTTGTTTTTCCAAGTTTTTAAATTTAAATGAGCTTGAGGAAATGATCTACTAAATCATTTTAACTTGGCATTTTGATATTGCAAAGATCATTTGTAATTTTCTCTTGTGAAGATAATTTTTATCGAATTTTTTTTAAAACATGCAAAAGAAGACATAAAAGATTATTTGTTTTTTCAATTTTTTAAATTTAAATGAGCTTAAGAAAATGATCTATTAAATCATTTTAACTTGGCACTTTGATATTGCAAAGATCATGTGTAATTTTCTTTTGTGAAGATAATTTTTATCGAATTTTTTTTAAAACGTACAAAAGAAGACATAAAAGATTGTTTGTTTTTCCAAGTTTTTAAATTTAAATGAACTTGAGGAAATGATCTATTAAATCATTTTAACTTGGCACTTTGATAAAGATCATTGTTTCACCAAATCACACACTATTTGTAGATCTTAAAATATATAAAAAAAATTATTAATGAGACTGCAGTATATTTCGAAGAGTATATATTTATGAAGGTGAAGAACTTTGTTCGATTCAGTTTACAGACTACGATCACAAACAATAGAATCCAAATCAGACGCGATAAGAATACGCAGTTGAATCAAACGCCTACCTTCGCGATGTTCCTGGATTTGTCGATAGACAAATCCACTTTGTCATCGATGGTGATAGAGGCAGAAGAGGGAAGCATATGCTAAGCATACTGAGGTACGGTCTGTCTAACGAAGTATCTATCTATCGTTGTCGGCAGCCTTTCGTGGCTTTGAGGGCCGTTTCGCGCGAAAATAGCTCTGACCCGTTTTCGGATACGTTCGGAAATTAGGAAGAAGAGGGCTAGACACACGCACGTTGATTTGCACGCGAGACGACCATGATAGGTAGGCGGTAGTGGCGAACGCGATGCCACGAGGTCGCGCTTTATAAATAGGCAGAGTTGCAGCGTAGGTAGATGCCTACGAATACTCCCTCGAGAAAGTGTGTTCGCATTTTCGCTCGCGGAGATTCCCCATCAAAATTGCGACGCGCAAACTTGATGAATAGATGGAAGAATCGATCAGCTGGAAGAACAATAAATTTTGTCCGCCTACTCATTTCGATTTTCTCTTACTTCCTTTCATCATTTACTTTTCGATTTGACGAATTGTTGGAACGGTGCGATTTTTTTTGAACAACGAAAGTAATCAAGATTTAATCTTTGCAATTTTTTAAAACTAATTTATATAAAAGTGTTTGACATAAGTAAATTAAATTATTTTTATTTGATTGCTCTTAGTACTCCTGATTGGCGGACAGTTTTCTGGAAGAGATGCTTAAAAGATGCTTTCAAAAGTTTCATACACTTTTAGATGCTCCTCAAATGTTTTTCAATTTTTTTTTGTATAAAAACAAATCGAATGGTTTATTTTCTTTATCTATAGCCCATTAGCTTTCTTTGAAGTAGGCAAATAAACAACTTGCTATTTAACTTGATAGTCTAGTTTTATCTACTTGCGGTGTTACATTTTCTTCCACAGATTGCAAATGTTTAACTATATCCCCGATCCACTCTTCCATCTTATTCTATTACTATAATTCCGATCGTGACTTTTAGTAAATGATACCACGTGGCAGCATGCCAACGATCACTTCTGTTACTTGAAGCTCGCCGAGTCACGATGATGGTTTCGTCGAATTTTCGCTTCATCGATGGTCACGTATTTTCGGAACAAAGCCGGAATGCAAAGTTTCCAAAGAATGCAGATCGCGTCCTCAAAAACAAATTTAATAAAATTATAGCAAAAGATACTTTGACAAAGAAATCAGAATTCATGTATGGAAAAAACGTACTGTTTTAAAATAATACGCACCACGAAATATTCATTAATTTCTAATTATATATCTGGATTATATTTCGACATAGCAATCACAGTAAATAATAATTTTATAAAGAATTTTTAATTCAATCTTTTTGCTTCTTTTGTGCTCATTAAATATAAAGAAAAATAGTGAACATTGCCATGTATATGATATGATCTTTAATTATAAAATATATGTCTTTTTATAAAAAGATATATAAAAATAAAAATATACAAACATTTATAGACAACAAACTGTAACACAAAACTTTTGAATTATACAACTATTTCTTGTCAAATTCGGGACACAAATTCATGTTTCGAGTGTTTTACTTTTCTTACAATAACATGCATTATGGCTAACCATTTCGAGACTTTCAAAAATATATATATATATACGTATATATGTATATTTTTATTATAATAATGAAAATTAGTATAATTAAAAATAATGTGTGTCAATTATAATATTATTGCAATCTTGCTACGTAACATAAAAAAATAGATTTCGATTTTATATGCATTAAACTAATTAACTATTTTTTTTCAAGACTGGAAAATTCCTCAAGATTTAATGTATTTCGGAAAAAAACTCGAAAATAAAGTATGCCAAAAAACGAATCATCCTATGACATTTTCTACAATAATCTTCACACAATGAAGCTTTGATGTACAATCCAAATGTGCCGTCACGATGAACCGATTACTGTTTCGAAAGAGTTACGGATTCGATTGGCGGAAGATACGAAATTCGAGCGGAACTATCGACAGGGCTAGGATTTTACCTTTAAGGATCGGAGGACCAGCGTCGGCAGTAGGTAGGAGGCCCACAAGCCTTCGGGAGACTGCGTCCGTCTCGCCACCGCCAAACTCTCGCCGTTCCGATGGTTATTGCTGGCTAAGACGGTGGTGGTGGCGACGGTGCGCCGCGCTGGATGATGCTTCGCTATCAACGCCGCCGTTAAAAGCATAGCGTCACCGGGCCCAAATTAGACGGCCCGAAATAGCGGAATTATTGGCGGCGGCGTGCATAGCCGGCTTAGACACGACACACCACGGTATCCGGTCGCGAAGAACGAGCGAGAGAGCGCTTCCGCTACCGGTATATACTCGATCACCTGGCATCAGTTCGAAGGACACCTTCTGTGTTCGTTTGTGTTCCGAAGAGAGTGGACATTAACGATTTCTAGAGAAGAGGAGAAATATATCCATTACAAGTGCTATGTTGAAATTTCTTAATCGCGATGAGAAAAACGCACCGTTTTTGTTGTCTACGGTAATAATAAGTAAATTGATTGAAACGCTTTAAATTGACTGAATATTGGAGTGACCAAGTTTGAGTTAGAAATTTATTATAGTGCGACTGTGTGAATAGGTAAATAAATAATTATGAATGAATATCTCTTCAGTGTTACAAAAAAAACACAGTTAAAAACCTACTTTTAATATCTAGCTTTCTGGAATATTTAATTTCAGAATTTGTTGTTATTGTAGAGCAGAAGGATTTTTACGTGGAACAGATATTTTTGAATTATTAATTTTTGAATTGTTCAAAATATCATAATTATAAAAAAGAATTATAATGTATGTATTGTAATGATTCTTTCTATATAAATATGATGAAATATATTTAAATAATCTGAAGTACATATTATTTTAATTATGTTTTTTAATTTGCGTCAAATATTATTTAAATAGAAAGATATGTATTACTTAAATAATTTTATGATTATTATATAGCAGGAATTTATATTAATTTATTATGAATTGAGTTGTTTTTCCTTTTGCGTACATTTTTCTACATTATAGTATTAGTAATAAGATGCGTTTATATCTATTACTATTGAATAAAGCAACTATAACGTTCTAAAAAAAAATCTCTTTTAAATAAATCAAGAGCTTTTGGAAGTTATAAATTTTAAAATTTTAAAATTTCAAAATTCTATATATATACATATGTGATTTTTAATTTTATTTTTACAAATCAAAATTCTTAATTCACAATATTCAAACAATAGTCCAAATTATCATAGATTTAATAATAGAAACTTCAAAAATTTTTATTCGCTATTTGTTACGCTATGTGTTATAAAAGTTATTTCATTTGCCGGCATTGATGTCACTCGCATGCCATTCTGCATACCGTACAGTCCGTACACACTTGTCACCTCATTTTCTTGTGTCATTATATCGAATCATTGATTTAGCTTCTTAAAAAAGAAGGATTTACAGCATAGTAGTATATCAAACAAGAAAATCGACATATTTTGCTTAATTTTAAATTTTTAATGACTAATTATTATGCAATTATAGATAGATCATTATCGATCGAATTAGACTTCTCCCTCAAGGATGCAAATATTTAGAAACATCATATTTTCCAACTAATGTGAACTATGAATAGAATTTTTATTTAAGACTCAATTATAAAAATATATAACATTAAAATGACTAGAAAATTTTTCTAAGTATCATCGTCATAAAATTTATTATTAATGAAAATATCTGATAGAAAATAAATATGATATATTCGCACATTTAATGAAAAATTTAATTATCTAATGTACTCTTACTTTTCTCATTCATAAACTGCGTAATTTACACGAGTAATAGAAGTTTATTCGAAGCGATCAGTACGAGAATTGGATCAGCTGATAGACCTTTCTCGTTGAACTGCTCTCTGTCTCTCTTGACTTTCTCTCTCATTCTTTCCCGCCGATCACCATCGCCGATGACAGCCCCACTCGTGGCATTCTCTCTCTCTTTTCCTCTCTCTCAGGTAATGCATGAGATCGTCTGTGTCCGTTGGTGGAAACCACTTTCCAAGCGGAGCCTGTTAAGGTACACGGGACCCAGTATCCTCGCCGCCTTCGGATCTTAATGTCGCGCGGTGCGCGAGCGCGTTTTTGACGCATGCCGAGTTCCGCAAGTAATTTCGATAGTTTTGACCTTGAGCTCTGATAACTCGTCCGTAATTTCCTCAAAGGTAAATCCTATGAAATTATGTATCAAGGCCGACACTCTCTTTGATCGAGCTCGCAGTTCCGTAAATGTATTCAACAATTGTATTCAAATTCGAATCTTTATTTCATTGAAATCGAATGCGCGAAAATAAGTTGAAAATAAATTACTTCTTGGATAACATAAGAATCGGAAAGACGTCTAAAAATATTCTAGTGAATAAGATGAAGAGTAGAAAGAGGAATAAAAAGGCTTTCTAAAAATGTGCAGATTTCTGCGTCCGAATTTTTAATCAATGTTCTACTTTTAAAAATGTGCCAAAATAATTATCGATTTGATCTAATTTGCTCCTTCGAAAATAAGAATCTTGCGTTCTATTGGTTTAGATTCCGGTGAACCGGATTAACTAATTAAGAAGGATGAAGGGATGGTTCGACGCCTTTCGCAGCGATGGTGGCCCGACTCTTTACAGCTACAGCAATCGCACTCCCGTGACAGGTGACGTGCCCCTGGTCATCATATTCGTGATATTCGGTACCTTGTTCACGGCATTTCTAGTCATATTCCCGGGTATCAGGAAAGAGGTGAGCAGACTTTCCACTTGTTCGTCGTGTCACAGATCCTAGATCGTAGACCGACGGTTAAGTCAATTACGAGTTATGGCCGTGTAAACCTGATGTTTCTCCGCCGCAGCGGTTAACCACATTTCTCACGGTTACCATGAGCCTCTTCGTGGGTGCGACGATTCAAGGTTCGTGCACTTTGTCTACTTTCCAAGTTGAAAGGCCTTGACTCTGCCAGTGGCGTAATTAACGGCCTCACGGAGCTCGTATCACAAGAACTCAACGAGATCTAAAAAAAGAAAACAAACAAAAGAAGAAAATTAATGAGAAAATAAAAGTTTGGAGAATTCGTCATCTGCAACCACATTAGCTATTTATCTTTCATTTTCTCGCGCGCATAGTTTTCCATTATTGTTATCAAATGTATGAATGTATAAATAAGTTCGAGAAAGTAAAGAACAAGATAAAAATCAGTATTCTTTAAGGTAGAAACGAATATTAGTTACGCCACTGTGTGAGCTCGTAGTTTCACCGTGTGTTTAAGTCGTTAGAGATATTTCCTCGATTGTGTCACGTGAAATTGCATTGTCAGAAAAAAATTACGAAACCTTGTTGAGACAATTATAACCGAGATGCTAATAAGTGTAGCGAATACGTGGAAAGATAATCATTTCGCTTTCTGTGTGTGCACATGTAGTGGCGCAATACGGTTCATCCTGGCATACGAGCACCGCCACCATTGTTAGCTCTTACAGCGCTTTCTCCAGGCACAAGGCGATGGCCGATATCGGCGGTTACATCGGCTTAATGCACATCAATATAACGTACAAGCGTAAGTTTCAAATAATTGGAAAGCTCTCATATCATAATTTTTCACATTTTGCGCTTTTAGAAGATTTAATATATTAGGCTAGATGTAAAAATTCAAATTCAAATTTTTTAATCACATATAATGAAATAAATTAAAGTTTTTATCGCAAATTATAGTGTTTTCAGATCAATTTATAAAGTGTAATTTACATCTACTTGTGTTAATCTGATTTTTGCAGTATTGCCAGAAAATGAGCAGACAAACAGCGATGTCGAATACAATGAACGCTTTTGGTGGCGGAGTTCTGGCGAAATGACTAGCGCTTTCAAACAAGCCCTTTATCAGGGCGCACCATTTCCTATCGTTTCTCTGGCAGAATATTTTAGCCTCCATCAAGAGGGTTTCTCCTGGGGCTCGCAATATCGCGAAGCTGGATATTACGCTTCGATAATGCTATGGTATTATATCTTCAATGATCTTCATGATTTGAAGTACTATCGCACCTAAGAATCGTTTCAACCTAATTACAAGCTGTCTTTTGTAAACTAAGTATTCTTTCTTCATCACGCGATTAGCTAATATACCAACCCGACTGATAAATTAAATAAATTTCATTTGCAGGACCTCCTTCGCTTCGTGGCTGATGATGAACTTATTGCTCATGGTAGTGCCCCGATACGGAGCATACAGCATGATCCTCACAGGACTGTGTATGCTGTTAACGAACTTGATTTACACGTCTCTTCTACCATGTGAGCCTCTAATAGCTCATATAGACGGCTCGATTCTCTCTTTCAATTTCGGTTGGAATTACTGGTTGGTGCTATCGGCCGGTTTGTGTTTCGCGTGAAATATTTTATTGTAAATAGTATGTGTGAGGATATATTATCACAATATTTTCTTTTATAGGTGCCGCATGCCTCTTGGCAGGAATCGTGATAACGGCTATAGATATGATTTTCCCTCATCAATTCTCGACTATACTCGAAGTCGATTACGACACGCCGTATGACAGGCATGTCATTATAGAAGAGAGCTTTGACACACGCAATGTCAGGCGGAAAGTTCCCAAGATCGAAGATTCGTTCGGCGATCGAATAATGAGGTGATTGCGATTGAATTAATCGATTTGATTTATTAAATTATTTTTTTCCCACCGTAATCATACGGATTCTGTAACCGTGAAAATATTTCAGTCAACTATCGTCCAAGCTTCAGAATAGACACGCTGCTAAAGAAGACACCGAGGGTGTCATTAATCGAGGATATACGTCGCACGAACCGTCTGAATTCGCGCAAGAAATTGGCGATGAGCCTAACAAGAGTAATTGGTCCTATCCATTTCCGCCAGCCTCGCGAAGACCCGTAAATGGCTGATATATTTCAGACAACATTAATTGAAATTTGTGAAATGCCATTAAATATTTCAATCTATTTTATATAACATATTTTCTAAAATATAATATTTAGTAATTTTATTTATAATAAAAAAAGAAACATTAACCTTTTTGAAAGTTATTTACAAGAGATCATCCAAAAAGTGTTTTTATTACAAATGCAAAAGTATATTTTTAAATTATAATAAATTATAATGTGTGTGTTCGCAATCAAATTTGAAATACTTTTGAGAAAAGAAAGGAAAGGCAGGAAAGGAGATCTTCTTTTTCTTCTTTATAAATAAGAAATGTAATATTTCGCGTAATTCATAAATAATAAAAAGCAGCGTTGATGTATATAAATATGTACATTTTATATAAAATAGAAGGTCGAGATTCGCGTTGAAATATTGTCTAATTTTGAACAGTCCAATATTTCACGCGAATGGGGATTACGTGATATACCTTGACTAGCCGAAGTTTTCAAAGTGATGAATAAAGTACGGCAAACGCCGAGTTTTGTTGACTTCGTCGCAGGCCGACATGACACTTTTCGTCAGAGGACGTGGTCCACAGCTAAATACTCCTATTTTGCTAACCTGTAAATCAATAACCATCTACCATCTATCATCAAATATACTTTCGAATTAATATTTTTTTTAATGTTAACATCATGAACGCACGTAGCTGTGTTTCTTCTGAACAAATTTCAGGAACGACGTCATATCCGGTCGACCAAAGTGATTTATGGCCTTGAGTCCGGTAAATATACTCTTCTTCGATAGCCTCTGAAAGTGATTCTCACATATGTACTACATATGTGAAATAAAAATGTAATTAATAAGCGAATAATTAAAAATAGCAGAAATTTTCCTTCTTCTCCTTGCTTATGCATATCATATATCGTACAAGAATATCAAAATAATTTTATTCACCAGCATAGTAGTACGCAAATCAAACTTGTGGAAGAATTGCGTAATGAATATGTGAATTTCAAGTACGTCTGTAACATCTTTTCTTTCCACATCTCTGAGAACATCGATGAACCATTCGAAATGTTTGTGCGATGGGCAAATCCATAGAAAATAGACCTGTCAAATAAAAAGAAAACAAGAAAATTACAATTTATTGTTTAATAAATTAACAAAAAGCATTTTCTCATTTGAGTAGTAAAATAAATTTTTTTTCACAAAATCATTAGTACATCAATTTTACCATAAGATTTTCGCATTCATCTAATATATTTCGATATATATAAATTACTTTCTTAAATACAATAAAAATTCTCAAACGTTTGAATTTGCTTGTAGAATGATTTTTTTAATTCATTTATTTTTATAAAGAAATTTTTGGAAATACTTTACACGCTCACCTTTTTACACGCGACACCTGAGTATCTATTAGTGGACGTTCCAAACACGAGATCATTGAGCATCGAGGCATAAGGTGTGACTCCGATACCTCCCCCGACCATCACTGCGACTTCGAACTTGTACCAATCTTGATTCCCGCCGCCAAACGGGCCTTCGATACGAATTTTCGGATATTCGTCCCCTGGATTATAATTGCAAGGATCGAAATAATTCCGGAGTTTCCATGTCCATGGTCCTTGTGCTTTTATGTGGCACGACAGAAAATTCTCATGCGGCGCCGAGGTCAACGTGAAGGAATGAAACTCGTTGGACCTGAAGGCGGTGCAAGCGAGACGCACCCACTGTCCCGACAAATATTTCAAGTTCGGAGGCCTGTAGAACTTGATCTTTATCACATCCGAAGGTAATAACTCTGTCTCGATAATATCCAGAGCTATGTATTTAGTTCGCAGGCTCACGACCTGAAATGCAAACGGCAATTTGGTTATTATCTGTTATTAATGTGGTAAAAACAGTGCAATAATGTTGCACTGTTTTTGCCACATTAATAACAGATATTGAGCTATTTTAGATAGCAATCATACAAGATTTACATATGCACTTTAAGCGTGCACGAAAAAAAAATATATAATTTGCATGTACAAGATTTGTTACATCAGCTGATACATAATTAATAGATTTTCATGATTTTATGTAACATTATGAGAATGTTTTTGAATTTTATTCTTGAAAAATACGAATAAAGGAAATTACTTTATCCAATGCGTAAATAATTGCCGGGCCAATAAAAAATATCCAAAATCTTGGTGCGCCTGTCAAACGGGCCAAGCCATGGATCAGACACAATGCGTATAGAACTACATAGAGACTGTGTGTCGACCAAAAGAACTTGTAAGCTTTCTGTCGTATGGTCGGATGTGCGAAGACAAAAATAATCGTCATGACGATGAAGAGAAGAATACCGCTTAAACCTGTTTGATAAAATAAGACAATAATTCATTCATTAATGTTTAAATCATGCCGAACAAAGGCTTTAAGAACAAACGAAATGACAGCAAACGATAAGTTTATTTCCATGATTTTTTGAGAAGACTTGACTCACCAGTTATTGTTCTGAATAGCCAGAAAGAAATAGTAGGTCGTGCGTCACTGGGAAAGCTGATCTCGCTGGTGAGACAACGAAGATGCGCTATAGGCTGCGTAGAAACGTGATAAAAATTGACTATGTGACCGACCGTGTGCAACACGGAGAAGAAAAGTGCCGTGCATGCTGCGATCTTGTGGAATTGTATATGTGAGTCTAATGGAATGTACTGTTGGATTGAAAATTCCTTCAGCTTCGTCAGCAGATTACGCGACATTGTCAATAGCAAAAGACTGTAGCAAAAGGATAGAGCGGCAGCTGATCCCCTCGTTATGGCAATTCCTACGCCCATTATATGCCTCAGATCCGTATGTTCCGCCATGAATGAGTAATCTGCGAGAAATTTTATGATAAATGGTAAAAGAATCCTTTACGAGCAATTAGCAAGTATATAAAAAAGGTCTTAAAGATGTCTAAGTTAATGTACGATTTTCTTTCAGACAATCGTATACAATTTCTTCAAGATCTTTCGTCTTTTTTGCTTGAATCCGATCGAATACTCACGAATAAATCTTTCGATGAAGAGAGCTATAGTGACTACGTAAAACACGAAGAGGTAGAATATATTCTGTCTATTCTCCTCGAGGAAAGTCGATATAGCATCCCACTGCTTTCGCGTCCAGCTCTTCGAATCCTCCAACGGCAATTGATCGATGTGAAAGCTGGTCATGCGCGCGACATTCGTCGACGTATCGAGGAAATTCTGCTTGGCACCCTTACAATCGAGACCGATCGCGACAAAGTCTCCCTTGTATTCTTTCATCATCAACTTGAAATCGTTATACGTGAGATAATCCTTCCTCTCGAGTCCGGCATCCTGATGAATGACACATTTGATTAATTAAACTGTCGCGCGATATATTGACGAAAATCGATTATGAAACACCTGGGCATCTATAACAGCTGGAAATCTATAATAAAAATAAGGGAAGCGCACCTGAAACATGCCATCGATCAGTTCCGTAACGTGATCATCCGAGAGACTCGTGGTGCGCGCTATTTCTACTAGCGATCTTAACATCTCTGACAATTCCTCTTTATCGATTACGCCGTTGCTGTCTTTATCGCACATGTCGAAAATAATGCGCAGTTTATCCTCAGTTTTGCCACGCGAAAACAGTAAGACCGTGTCCAAGAATTCCTGGAATTTGAGTTTCGCTGATGAAAATTCGACAAAGATGAAACTTATTGAAAGCGATGTAAAAAGCAGTCGGTTAAACGAATGATTATACTCGATTATACCTGGAAGGAAATCCGACCATCACCGTCTTTGTCGACAATGTTGAACATTTTCTTGACAAAGACTGCGTCAGGTCGCATGCCTAAAGCACTTGCAAATTCGCTCTTGGAAAGCGACGTGCGCATCACCGTGACGACTTCTCCGGTATCACTGTCTTCAGATCGTCGTCTTCGTTCGCCAGGGCGTAGACCGAAAGTCAAAGCATAGGCTTCTCTGAAGAACTAAAAATATTTATATTTATTTTATAAATATTTTACAAAAATTTTTAAATACTGTATCTTTTTGTAGGTTTGTTTTCTTTTTCTTATTCTCTCGGTTAAAATCTCATTATTTTTTTATAAACAAAATTTCTTTTATTAATTCATCTTTTCATTTATTCGTAAATGGACAAAAAAAAACGCAAACCTGTTCGAGCTTCTTTTGTCGGCGCTCCTTGGTTTCCGCTTTTGCCAGCATTATATCCCGCGCAATTGGCGTGAGTGTGAAATGCTTTTTTTGCGACGACAGAAACGCCTCCAATTTCGCAATGAACTTTCTACGCGAAGCCAGCGAATCGAGTTCAAGGACAAGGTCGTAATCGCGCGGTATACGTAAGAGCACTAGGGCTTTACGATGTCCGGTTTCGCTCTCCTGCAACCGCAATTAATAATTAACCGGATGCACCGTGTGACATTAAAGAATCATCTGTTATTTAATATAAAACGTAGAAAAGTTGTTACGTAATTTGTAAGTAATTATATCTGATGATTTTAGTTATTATATCATTTTAAAATAGCATGATTGATATTGTATAAATATTGTTTAACAAAATTTTATCTACAGATATTTTAGAATGATTTCTTTTTTTAGTTAAAATTTATTTTACCTTTCTATATTATTTTCTATATTGCGTATAATTATATCTCAAATTAAAATTCTGTTAAAGTTAAGTGTATTTAAATTAATAAAAATTGTAATGATATATAAGTTTTAATGTTACAAAGTGGATGTTAAAAAATATAGTACTTTCTCTAAAAAAAGAAATTGTAAAGAATACCTGTGATTCTTCCATAGTTATAGTGTTAACGCCACTGAAGTCGAACGTGCGCAGTTTCTCTCCCTTTCGATCGACGATGTGCAATGCTGCTTCCGGCCCAAATTTCACCTTCACGAGACGGCGATGGTTTGCGTGCAGCCACTCACGTACAATCATCTTATCGACACAAATCCGACCGTCGCTTCGCTTTTGAATCGCCTCTTGAAGTATCTTTAATCTTCGTCGACGTCTGTTCTGCAGTTTCACCAATCCGTATCCGGCACCGGCGCAAAGA